AAAAAAAAAAGCAAAAAAAAAAAAAAACAAACAAAATACCAACCAACACGGTTTGTTTTCAACTCTCTGTCATTTGAAGTAACCTGTAGAAGAAAGAAAGCTTATCACAAAATGTCATCTGAAATAGTTGGCTAGCGCTGATTGCACGTGATAAAATTTTGTGTTTACATCTTACTGTTAACGTATACTTTTCCAACAAATACTATTTTAACTTGTATGAGCACATCTGGGTCATTTTTGTGCTACTTCGATTTGTTTTACTTTATGTTTGAAATTTAGATGGATGAGAAATTATTTCATGTCTTTTTTGATTTGAATACTTCTAAATCTAAAATATTAGTAGACAGTTTGCTTAGTCCTAGATGTGCCGTTGTGCTAATATATGGCAGAAGTGTATTTTATGGCAGAAGCAACATTGTCGCAACTGCCCTCTTATGCATCTTATAATAAAATTACCACCATAAAATTACAACAACTAACAACCTCATATCCCTTACAGGATTGTTGTTTTGGATCAGGTATTTTTCTGGGTTATATGCTTAAACATTATTTCAGTCTTCTAGTAACTACAGCTACAACTACTACTACTACTAGTATTGCTTTTACTGCTACTATTATCATTGTTCGTACTGATTTGTCGTGTAGCGCTTTCACTAAGTGCCTTAACTTTATTATTTTTTGTTAGCATAATTTCCACTTTTTTTTTTTTTTGAATCTGCACATCTGCTGGGTTTAATTCCATTGTTCAGTTCTTTTATTTTTGGATTTTTGTTTATGAATTTAAACTTTGTTGCAATTTTAGCTCATGCTTTTTCAGTTTTGCTAAGTTTTCATTGTATAAGGTGATTGATGTGGTTTATCATCAAGTTCTGTATTTCACATTAATCTAATTCATGATCCAGAAAAATCGCTTTTTAATGAAGTGTCATGACATTGTAAAGAATCAATTTCCGGACTTGCTTCTATCATGGATTTGTTGGTTCCATAATTTTAAATTTAATTAAAATTATGAAAAGCGGTTTGTATGCATATCTTTTATCCAATAGCTTTTATCAAGCTTCATTGCTAACATTCCAAATCAAAATGCATGTTTAGTTTTTACATTTCCTTCACTGATGGGATGGTGATTTTGTTAGGAGCAAAGTGGGAAGATCCGGAAGCTCGCGTAATCTTATAATATTCATAATGTATTATTATTGTTGTAACAATCATGAATTGAAATCCATCTTTAAATTCAGACTCTTAGCTTCAAATTGTTCAAAATTGTTTTTTTTTTTTTTTGTTTTTTTTAGCTCTATTGCTGACAAAATACACTTCAATTATTAGTTTAGAAGAGCAAGAAAAGTAGCTTTAAAAAAGTAAGTCAAAAATAAGTCTTTATTAGCAACCTTATGCTTCTTTATTAGCGTCGTATATCAACTATATTTTGAATTAATTCATTTATTTATTGATCTATATTACTACTTGAGTATCCATGTTTACAGTAGTCTAAACAAGGTTAACTTCTCAAATTTTTAGTTTTTTGGCTTCACCTATTCCTCAGACCATAATTTTCTTCTATTTAATCTTTATAATTTCTTTTAGGGATGAAAAATTTGATAGGCTAGATTCATTTATATGTATCATAAAAATTGGTTAAACAAATTTAAGTTTTAGATAGAGAATTTTCAGTTTAAATCTAAAGAATGAACTTTTTTAGATTTTTTTTTTAATGATAATGAATATCTATCTATAAGCATAATGAATCAGCAGTAACTGTATATTTTCTCTTTTTTTATTTGCTTAATGTATATATATATATGTTGAGGAAATTGGTGCCCAAAATTTTTGTTTTTCACATTTTTTACTCTTTTATTCCTTTTCTCTCCTATCTATCTAAATTGTTGTTTGTTTGTTTTTTCTTTTTTTAGTCTGTCTTCAAAAATGCCTTGAAGTGCCTGCGGATCCGATAGTAAGTATCCTATGAAAGAAAGAATTTTTGCTTCCTTTCATTCTTCCTTCCTTCCTTCCTTCTCTCTCTCTTCAACAATTCATTTTAATATTTGCAATAAATTGATAGATATTTCAATTTACGAAACTCTAATAAAACAATCAAATATCAAAAGCTATTAAAAAAGTATGATTTGAAAAAGAATTCATTTCGTTTGAAGAAATCCGTTGGAACTATCTACTTACTTCTCCATCTCATTAACTCTTCAAAAAAGTTCTAATTCTAATTAACAATATACTATGCTTATTTTGATTTTCAGTATTTTCTCTTCAATTTCTATTTATCATTGTCATTTTGTATGCTTGTGCTTTGTTTGCTTATTAAGTCTTACTGTCCACAATTGTTTTAATCATTAATTATCATATTTGCACACCTTGATCGCTGTTATGCGTGAAACCTCCTTGGTGTTTTTCATCAGTTTTTTTTTTTCCTCTTTTTTGTTATATATGTTTTTCTTTCTGTGCCTTTTAAAAGATGCACTCTTTGTATTTTGAGTTTTTTTTTCCCCCATTGTTCAATTGTTTTTTGTATTAAAATTTGCCTTGATCAATGAATTTTACTTAATTTTTTTTTTTTTTGAATTCTAATTTTTTTTTTAGTGGAAATAATAAAAATTGTCATAGAAATTCTTTCTTCTTTCTTGTTTACAGTTTCGTTACAGAAAATTACAGTTATAATTGAAAGAATACACCTACCCGAATTTCTTCTACAGAACTTTTATATCCAAAGAATATTTGCCAAGACTTTTTCCCTCAAATTCCGTCATAATATATTTTACAGATCCATTATTTCTATGCAGATAATATTTTGTAGGAAATGTATCACAACCAGCGAAGTTATTTAATAACTTAGTTGATAATTAATTAATTTTTGAAATGTTACTGAGAGATGAAGACGATTTCCCATTTAATTTACACTTTTTTTTTTCAAATTTTACCTTCAAACATATAAAACTACACTTAGAAGTTCGTGACCCTAGTAACTGGACTGTTTTATTTTCCAGATATGCTAAATTTGCAGGTCAGTTAAACTATAAGTTATTCTATAATTCAAAATAACAAAAAACATCATATGTAAAATGCTTATTTTAATTTGAAAAAAAAAAAAAGGAACAACTTAGATTTTATTGCTGTTTTAAGATTGAACTTAAAAAATTTATTTATATTTCTTTTACAATATCCACTCAATAGTGCATAAGAAGGCAAAATAATTTTTTGGCCTAAAAATTTTTTGTGATATTGATAAAGAAGTGAAAAGAAAAGTGATAGCATTGAGAATTTAAAAATTTATGATCGTAAAACGAATTTGCTTGAACTGATAGAATCTGCTATAACCAACATTCGTCCATAAAGAAGCTTAGCAGTTATTATTCATAGATTGAATGGTTTGTTATTGTTCGAAAAGCGATGGTTGAATAGGAGAAATGAGATTATGGATTATTTCAAATCAATATATGCAAATTAGTGGGTAATAGAAAAAGTTAAAGTTACTAATGTGGAAATAAAAGTAGCTCAAAATAGCAAATAATTTAGTAATTCCGATAAGTATCCAAAGAAGTCTCTTTAAAATGAGAATAACAATTTATATTTTTAGAAAGGTTTAGAATTAGCAGAAAAAATTAAAATTTCATCAATAATTCGATTTCAATTACATATTTCTGATAAAAATATGGATGAGCAATTTACCATTGCACAAGCATTTTACTTTCTTTTTTTTGAGCTTGGAAAGAAGAAAATATACAATCAATCCTGTTAGTAATATATGATTCCGGACAATATGTGATCACAGAAATGCTTGGGACGAATATATCAGTTTCATTAGACAAAGCTTACCTATTGTGATAATATAATATCAGTGATAAGTGATCTATCACAAATGTACAAAAAAGCATATCAGTTTGATTAGACAAAGCTTACCTGTTGTGATAATGCAATATCAGTGATAAGTTATCTATCACAAATGTACAAAAAAGCATGTCAGTTTGATTAGACAAAGCTTACCTATTGTGATAATGCAATATCAGTGATAAGTTATCATAAATGTACAAAATTATAAACAATAAGAAAAGCACATTACAGGTACAAAGAATGCTTAGTTCTACAAAAGTATAAAATTGCTTACTTTAGAACTATGAATATTTACTCTGAAGAATTTCGAATGGAATAATAAGTAACATCTGATATCAACTGTATGTATATATATATATATATATATATATATATATATACAAAATGTTAATTTTATTATTAAATTTTATACTATCATAGATTTTTAAAATTAACACAAAAAGTGCGTTAACTATAAATGTAACTAATTTTTCCTTCGATATTTTAAAGCATTTCAGCTGAATAATAAATTCGACCAAATTGCCAACATTGCTAATAATTTGAGTTTTTGAGTTACTGTGAGAAAATCAAAATGTTTTATAAAATATTGAAATAACCAAAATAAATTCATAATTCAGAAATTTTGGGCATAAATATTATTTCATTTCGAATACTTTTCAAAAACAAAAAAAAAAATTGGCAAAACATTTCAGTACGTAATATGATGAATCATTTCATCCAACCGATCATTTTTTCAATATTAGAAACTTCTAGCATTTCAAATATTGTATCTTCTAATTTCACAATCCCTTTTTTGTTTTTAATTTAAAACATAATTTGTTGAAATGTATTTAGAAATCATATGATGAACAATCATTTTACTTCATTCTTATTATTTGTTGAAGAAATTATAATTGTAAACTCTTTGTTTCCGATAAATTAAATTGTAAATTCTTTGTTTCTGATAATTAAACTTAATTGTAAACAGATTTTCCTATTGTTCTATTAGCTCGCTGAATTACAAAAAAAGAAAGGAAAACTCTCATGCCATGTTTATACTTTTGTAAACAACTCCCACTATATAAGCGATGAGATTCTTCCAGTCACAACACTTGCACGGGCAGTGGTGGGTAACGGCTTGGCGGGCATCTCGTGGGTTGTGTAGAGGTTAGGTATGGGTTGGGATGGTTGAGGGCATAAGCACTATGGCAGTATGGGCAAGTGAGTTGGGGAGGTTTGATTTGGCAAAAGTTGGTCAAGGGGTTACAACGTTTTGGTCAGCAAAGCTTGGAGAAACGAACCTCCGCGGGTGGGTAGACTATGAGCTAATTCGGGAAGGGTTGGGTGGTGAGTTGATAGGGCTTCCGAACTCCACGAATCGTGCAAGATATAAATTCATGTGGCGGATCTGTCTAATGGGTAAGTTGGTCGGATGAGTTAATTGTAAATTTTAAAGCATTTAGACAAATATATGGATGAATGGAGTGGCTTGAAATCGGACCAGAATTGATGCTTCACACACGATTTCAGGGCAAACGGTGGATGGCAGTTTCCGTAAAAACTGCAGTTTGTAAGGTTTCTCGACATGAAGAGGTTTCAACCCAGACTTCCTGGTGTAATAATAGCTCTGATTACTAAAATGTTGAAAACTGAAGTCGCTTGTCTAAGTCGTATGGTTTTTTTTTTTTTCATTAAATCGCTAAAGTTTTATGAAGCTACCTATTAGGTTAAATTTGAGATTGTTTCAGGGTCGGCAGGTGTGTGCAGAAGGTTTTTTGAAAATGAGAAATTAGAAAGAGTACCGTGCATCATGAGTGAGTGCAACATTTCTAACTCGAGATTTTTATAAAATGATTTTTGCAAATGCAACCGTTTTTTTCAGCCCAAAAATCGGCCTGTACTTGTCAAGTAACATCAAGGTAGCAACATCAAGGTACATGATTTCGAGATTGCTTATTGATAAAACAATTTCATGCGAAGATTGTTGCAATTCGGGGAGGGCTTTGAATATCAGAAGTTGATGCAAAAACCTGACTGAAAAGTCTATCTCGGAATAATTGCAGAAAGTCAACATCGTCGGATTGCAAGAACAACAGGCTAAGCTAAATCGCCTGCCATCCCTCCCGGTATGTTAAAGTTACTTGGAATTTCTTTAGTTTAGAAAAGGTAGGGGCGAGATTTCTTGAGTCTCGGGAAATTGTGTTAGAAGTGTGGCACTCTAACTGTACAGCAGCAGTTTGGGGAACAGGAAATTTAATTTACACACACTTGCCGATTCCTGGAAATCTCGACGGAAATCGCTTATTAACATCGAGATCAGTGCAATTGCCATTCCGGTGTTGCCATTCCGGTAAGTGATCAGTAATCTACCTGTATCGTCAGTTTTCCAGATTTTATCCATCATTCAAGCTTTTTCATAAATAGTACTCAGCGGTTCCGCGTGACGGCGCAATCATAAATGTTATGATTTGTGGTCATCCCTAATCGATGGATCGAGTTCGGGTGGCCAGTCGAGTGTAGGGTTGGTTGGTTGCCGGGTGGTCGAGCAATCAAATGACTGGTGTTGGTCGGATAATCGAGAGGTCGAGATCGAGTGACCAAGCAATCCAAAAATTGATCCTATGGCGAGACTGAATATGTGATCTACAATCATTCATCTTCAAGTTAAATGTTTTGCAAGAGAAGTTCAAACTTCTGCGCACAATAAAATGTATATATCGATTCTTGTTTCACATATCCATCGAAATCATATGCCAGGTTGTCGTCTTGGAGATAGTGGAATTGTCATTGGTTCATACGAAAGTGACAAAGTTAGCATAACTGCTTGGGAAAACACCCGAAATGAAAATCCAGGGCTTCCTTTTTCACTGGTGTCGATACTGATATGCTACGGGATATATCATCTATCAAATTCAGGTCGAGAAATAACTGGAAGTACTGGGGAAGTGAGGAAAGGCGAGAGTTGGTGTTTGCGTAATATTTGCCTCAGTGTCACATAGGTAAGTCGGTAGGTGTTAGGTTTTCAAGAAAGGGAGCTGTGGTAGGATTGTTTACTTGGAGCTAATGAGAAATTATTCAAATAAGTTTTGAAATCTTAAATATCAAAGAATTGACTGTACCGAGTTGGACATTGCCTTCTTTTTTTTTTCGCATTTGAAGTATTCTCGAATAGAAGAGGAGTGTGAGTTTGAACGAGACTTTAGTAGTTCTGAGTTTCAACGAGACTTTAGTAGTTCTTCAAGTATTCAGTTTCTATTATTAATTTGTTTGTCGCACTTCTAAATATACTTACGACGAAACTAAACTAACGTACATGAATAAATATCTCAGATTTCATTGCAAGTCAGTTGTGCTGTAAATTATGCAAGCTTGCTTGCACATTCTCCTGCATGACATTTGATTTTCACTGTCGTTACATCGATGATCATTTCATTCTCTTTGAAATTTGAAATTATTCTTTTGAAATAAATGTGTACAGAATATTTGTGATGATTTGCCGTCAATTGGTGTATCATTAGTATATGGCTAATTTTGATTAGAAATATCATTCTGATTTTTAATTTTAATGTTTCAAATTTGTTAAATTGTTTATTTATTTTCTATGGTTTTAATAAAAAAGTATCTGAAATTTTACTTTTTAATTAGCAGAATACCAGTGAATCACAAAAAGATAAATAAGTGAATTTCTTTATCAGAAAAAGTTCACTTTAATTGTTTTTTTTTTCTTTCTTGAAGCTATCAATTACTGCTCAGTGAGAGAATGTATGTAGGTAGAAATGTATAGAGTAGGGCTTCATCCGATGAGTAAGACATGACCGAACACTCTCGAGAATTGTTATAAAGTAAGAGGTCTTCATCGAGATTGTTGTGTTGTGGTCGAGAATGTTATTGAAATTGCTATAGCAGAAAAGATCGACGAGAATGAAAGCTTTTTGAAAGGATTTCATAGCTTAGTCAATAGATGTGGGGGCGAAAGGAATGGTTCAAAATAGCAAAAATTGATCAAATTAAGCTTAAACTTTTAAGCAATACAATTCAAAATAAATTGAAGTAAATATAATAATAATAATATTGTTATAATGCAAATAATTTAAATGATAAAATTATTATCAATTAGTGATTAGTAAAAATGATATAAGTGTTAATCAAATTAAATTAAATTTAAAATTGATCAAAGGAAAAAAAAAATTAAGAATAGCAAATAATTGAGCAATTGTATGATAATCAATATTTTTTCTAGCAATAAACTTACAAGAAACTTTCAGAGAGAATGAAGAAGAATGAAAAAATAAAAAAATAAAAATAAATAAAAACTTAATTTCTATTTCTCTTACTTTTATCACAAATGTACAACATAAGTTAGTTCTCTCATACATAAATGTTTTAAATAGTTTGATGAAGAAGAAGAAGAAATAATTTAAAAGAGAAAAGGAAGCAGAAAAGTGAACAAAAGAAAAAAAAAATCTTTTCAGTAAGATAAAAAAAAGAAATTCTTTTTTTTTCAAAAATAATGCAAAAATCTTTTATCATTCTTATCACCATTTATTATCATTATTATCAACAACAACAATAACAATAATAGCAACTAATGAACAGTCATAATCATATCAAATGATAATGTTATTATTTTCTTTTTCCGTTAAATGTCACATAACTTTCTTCGTTTTCCTCTTCACGGATAGATAGCTAGCTAGATAGATAGATATACCTTTGTTCATCATTTCAAAACCACAGCAAAAATTTTTAAAATATTGTTTAGCACATCCTTCCAGCTTTTTCTCCTTCTCACCATCATCATCATCATCATCATTCTCTTTGCAATTTTCCACTCTAACATTTTCCTCATCTTACATTCATTCTTCTAACTTAAAACAATTCGATATTTCGAAGACTTTTCACTTAATCACAAACACTACAGCCTGACTTCAGGCGCATTCGGTTCGCTTCCCACCATTTAGCACCACCATTTTATTTACCACTCCACCCTTTTGTTTTTGTTTTTGTTTTTGTTTTTATTTTGAAGTAATAACTCTAAATAAAAGAACGGACGAATTTTTTTTTTTGAAAAAAAAAAAAAATTGGCAAATAAATTGGACGATTTCGATATTTCGATCAAATACAGTAAAACTTATTATTTTCTTCTATTCTATTCTATTCGCTTTGATTATTTTCTGTATTATTCCAAACATTTTGGAAAAAAACGAAACGGTTGCAAAGTGTTACTGTTAAAAAAGAAAAATCAACAAAATCAACGATAAGTAAACAAAAATATTTTTATTTTTATCTTTATAAAATCAACAAGTGCAGCAGCGGCAGCCAAATTATTGGATTATTCTGTAGCATTTATTGAAATTTTCTTTTTTTTTTTTTGCATATCTATTAATTATTGCTTACAAACAAGAAAAAAAAAAAAAAAGAGAAAAAAATGAATCTAGCAAGTCGACGTCAACGTCAATATCAACGTAAATACAACTCGTACAGGTAAATTTAAAGATAATATTTCAAAAAAAAAAAAAAAAAATTAAAATCAAATTAGAATTTTAGTTCGAAATGACCTTATAATAGTGTTTTTTTTTTATTTTTATTAAAATCCTAAATAATTCCTATGTATAATTAAAATGCTGCTACTTAATCATTAGTTTAAACTTTTTAAATTATCAACCATTTTGTTCAAAATTGAAATTTAACTTTAAAACGATATAAAATTGAGAATATATATTTGAATCCAAAATTCAATTAAATTAGTATCACTTCAATTTCCGTCCAATTCTAAAATTAAATGAAAAATTTGTTGCTTTAAAAAAAATATGAAAAAAAAAAAAAAAACTACAAAAATAAATGAAAGAGATTTAATTTTTTCGAAAAAGATTTATTTTTAAGAAAATTTATTTAATAAAAATTTTTTTCTTTCTTTTTCTTAAAATATAAATTATATAAAATTTGTCAAATTTACCTAATTAAAGAATACCTTTCTTCCACTTTTATCAATTAAATATTTTATCTATAAATCAATACCATTCTTTGTTCTATAAAATTTCATTTTCAAAATATTCAGAAAATACACAGCAACAGAAGATGTGAATTATGCGGCGCATACATCTCGATCATCTTATCGCTCCGAATCGATCACTTCAAGAAGTAGCGATCATGGTCGAAGTTCATCATCAGAAATTATCTCTGTAGGATTATTCAAAATTATTACCACCACTTGCTGCTATTTTAAACTGTTCGAAATTTATAAAATGTTTAACATTTCAATATTTAAAATAATGAAAAGCAATTATTATTTTATCGAATTTTCAATTTAATTATAAAATTAGGTATCGGAGACTCGATCATTGCCAGTTTACATAGCAACACAAGATTATATCCCTGAACCTGGTGACATTGAGTCAATATCGTTGGAACAAGGACAAATTGTTGAAGTGTTAGATAAAAAGAATGCCGCTTCATGGCTTATCAGAACAAAGGTTTAATCATTTTTTATTTAAAACTTTAAATAATTTTTTTTTCTTTTTTTTTGAGTAAGAAAATTTGAATTTCTAGTAATAAAAAATATCTTCTAGGCACGTCCACCAAAATCAGGTTGGGTACCAGGATCATATTTTGAATCACCAACAGAATATTATAAACAACGAAAACGAACTCGAGAATTAGTTAATAGTGATCTAAATTTAACCGATGAGCAAGAAGCAATTATGAAACGAGAGTAAGTTTAGCATAAATTTATCGCTACTAAAAATTTTTCAAAAATATTTTTGATCATTTAAAAATAAAAAATATTTTCTATATTAGCAAATTCTTATTTTTATTTAATTTTACAATAAAATTTTCACAAATTAAATGCTTTTTTTCTTTTATTAATTATTTTACAGTCAAGTTTATCATGATTTGCTACGTTCCGAGGAGGAATTTGTTAATGAATTACGAACAATTGTTGATATATATTTAAAAGCATTGGATGATGAGGGAATTCCGGATGAAGTAAAAGAGAAAAAGAATGAATTAATGATGAATTTGAAACAGTTACACAATTTTCATGCAAAGTATGCTATTACTTACTTTGTATTTAAAATAATTTATTTTTAAAACAAAAAAAAAAAAATTTTTTTTTTCATTATTATTATTAAAGTTATTTAGAATAAAAGAAAATGCATGAATGAATGCAATTAATTATAATTATTTTAAATTTATCAATATTTCAATACTCATAATTATTTCGTTTTAAAATTTTTATTTCCTTTTTTTTTTTAAAAAAAAAAAAAAAAAATTTCAGCATAATGCTAAAAGGTCTACAGTATTATTCGGATGATCCAAATAAAGTGGGTCAAACGTTTACACGGCTTTCACGTGATTTTGACTTACACATACAATTTCATCATAATTTACCACATGTAAAAGAATTACTTAAAGAGAAAACAATCATCGATTTTCTTCAGGTATGTAAAATAATATACCAGGTATGACATTTGAAATTTTTTCCGAAAAAAAAAATGCAAATTTATTTTTTTATAATTTGTAAAATTTCGCATCAAATTGTCAAAAAAAAAAACGTAAACAAAAATTATTTAAATCACTGTGATTGTTTGAAAGTTATCACAGATTGAAAATTATAATTGTAAATTTGCATTTTTGAATTTGCTTTTATTATCATTATTTTCTTGCTTTGATCTGCTTTTCTAATCCTTATTTTGTCTTCTTTGTACTTTTTTATCACTTTGATCAAACTTTTATCATCTCATTTGATCATTTAATTCAATGTTCTATTTTATTTTCAAAGTATCGCCTCATTTTATCAATTAATTTAAAGTTTTATCGTATTTTAATTCAAACTATCATCTTATTTTATCAATTAATTTAAAGTTTTGTCTTATTTTAATTCAAAATTTCATCAAATTTTATCAATAAATTCAAAGTTTCATTTTATTTTCAAAGTATCGCCTCATTTTATCAATTAATTTAAAGTTTTACTTTATTTCAATTAATTCAAAAATTTTGCTATCTAAAACCAGAAATTAAAGGAAAAAAAACAAATTTTACATATCTTGTTAAAAAAATTTTTAAAATTAATTTGCTCAAGGAAAATTTATTTTTAAAATTTGCTCTTTGCCAATTTTCACTTTTACAATTTGGGCAACTGATATCATTCATATCACAAATTTAATCTGTAATAATAAATCTTTCTCTTTCTCATTTTATTATGCTAACATTTAGCAAATTCCAATTTGCAATTAATTCTTAAAACAAATAATTAAATTTAAAAATTTTGTTTCTAAACAAAAACTAATATTAAAATACCACAGCAATTACAAACTTTGCTCACAATACTGACAGTTTTAATTTCAAATTTTTGAAATAAATTTTTTAAGATTAAATTCGCTTAAAATGCATAATTTCTCATTTTCATTTCTTTTTTCCAATTATTTTTCAACTTTTTAATTTTAATCAATTTGAAATCGTTTTTTTTTCTCCATTTTCTTAACAAAATATATGTAAGATTAATTGGAACTAAGAATTTATTTATTTTTTCATTCTCTGTTTCACTTTATAATTTGAACTTTCATTTTTTGATTTCTTTTAAAATTCAATTCAATCTTTGATTTATTCAAATAAAATCTCTCTCATTAATATGCAATAATAATTTTCATTTTTTGATTTCTTTTAAAATTCAATTCAATCTTTGATTTATTCAAATAAAATCTCTCTCATAAATATGCAATAATAATTTGGCACTAATTGAGAAAAGTTATATTTTTCCATTTGTATTCTATAATTTTAATAAATTTTTTTTTTTTTCATTACTTTCAATTTTCCTATTTAATATTTTTCATTCTTTTCCATTTATTCTAGCTGTAAAATTATCAAAATATAATTTTTGATTAAAATATTTTTTTTTTTAAAAAAAAATATTTTTCCACTTTTATTTCTTAATTTTAATAAATTTCAAATCTTTTAATGTCCATTGAATTTATTTGTTGAAATTAATATAAATTTGATTATATTATTTTCAAATTCTCAATACATAAAAGCCATACAGTAAATATAATTATTAAATTTTTTTATCTATTAAATATGATAAAATAAATTTAAAAAAAAAAAATTTCAATTAAACAATAATACATAAATCTTAGTACTTCGCATTCATTCTTTTTAATAATTAAAAGAAAATTCCAATTTTTTTTTTCTAAAATTTTATGTTTTTTTGTAATTCAAAAATTTCTTTGCAAAAAAAATATTTATTTTAACTTTAAATATATCAAGTTTTAATCTTATAAATGTCATAATTCCAAGAATTTTTCATTTTAATATTGCAATTTTAAAAAAGTGTTTAAAAAATTTGTTGATGCAATATAGCTATTATAACTCTTCGATTTTGTTTATTACTTTATTATTATTTTTTCTTCAATTTTTTAAAATTGATTTTTCAAAAATTTATTCTTCAATTTTAAATTATTTCAAAAAAATTCTACGATTTACTATTTTTTTGAAGATAATTTTTTCGTTGAAATTTGTACACATACTTCCCATTTCATAAAATATATGCTAAGTTTTAATATAAAAAAATTTTAATAAAAGAAAAAATTAAATTTTATGAAATTTTTTTATAAAATTTGTTGAATTCCTGAAAGGAATTATTCAAGTAGATTATAATATGAACATTTTCCGGAAAAGAAAAATAAAAAATATGCAAATTTCTCATTGTTTATAGCATTTTTCATTTTTCACTTTTTTTTTTTTGCAAATATTCTTATCTTTATTTCCATATTATATGTTTATAAATTTAAAATGAAAATTTATGAGTGAAAATCAATATTTCAATAATTTAAATTCATATTTCTTTTACTAAATTTAATTAAAATTCGTCCCAAATTTTTATTTTACCTATAGCTATTTGCTGTTATAGTTTAGAAAATTGATTTTGTGAAATATTTATTGAAGTTAAGAGGATAAATTTAAATATTTAACAGAATTAAAAATTGCTTTGTTCTACTAATTTTATTTGATAAAACTTAATTAATTAAATTTAACATGAACAGTTCATTTTTTTTCCTCTTTTATCTAATTTCTATCATTTGCTATTCCATTTTTTTTTTCAAATTTTGCAATGAGTATTTCAACTCAAATAAAATATTTTAAAAATATAATTGTTTAAAAGTTTCAAAGTTTCATATGCAAACGATTATTATTTATAGTTCAAATTTTGATTAAAGATTAAAGTTTAGTTTATGCGAATTTAATTTTTATTTTTTCACTTTTTACAAGAAAAGATTTTACTAAATTCATTGCAATATGAAAAAAAAAGCAATTATCAAAAATCTGTTTTTTTGTATTTTTTAGATAAATTAATGCAAATTCGAATTAATAATTTTGTATTGCTATTTCCAATCAAAACAGTAATTTGAAATAAGAGCCAAGTTATTTAGCCAAGATTTCTGAGCTACCATCCAACTATTTGAAATAAGAGCCAAGTCATTTAGCCAAGATTTCTGAGCTACCATCCAACTATTTGAAATAAGAGCCAAGTCATTTAGCCAAGATTTCTGAGCCACTATCCAACTATTTGAATAAGAGCCAAGTCATTCAGTCAAGACTTCTAAGCCACTATCCAACTATTTGAATAAGAGCCAAGTCATTTAGCCAAGATTTCTGAGCTACCATCCAACTATTTGAAATAAGAGCCAAGTCATTTAGCCAAGATTTCTGAGCCACTATCCAACTATTTGAATAAGAGCCAAGTCATTCAGTCAAGACTTCTAAGCCACTATCCAACTATTTGAATAAGAGCCAAGTCATTCAGTAAAGACTTCTAAGCCACTATCCAACTATTTGAATAAGAGCCAAGTCATTTAGCCAAGACTTGCAAGCCACTATCCAACTAAAGAAGTTTCTCATTAACAAACTTCTTATTTAATTTTAACAATTGCTATCAGTTGGCTATTGGTGACCATTGGTGACCATCGGTGACCAATAACTTTAAAATCCCAAATTCTCGAACAAAGTACATTTGACAATCATTCCTCAGCATTTTATTGTTTTATATTCCATTTGAAATTCATTAAAAAAAATTGTTCGTTCTAAAATATTCTAAAAACAAAAAAGAAAAAAAAATTCTAAAATAAAATAAAAAAAAATTTTGAAAATAAAATCATTTCATAAGGAAATGATTAAACAAATAGCAATTAATAATAATAATAATTATCAGTTAAAAAATATTAAAGAAATAATTAAACATTAAAATGGTATATTTATACAATCTTACACTTATTTTAATTTAATATTTTAAAAATTTAAATGGCAAATTTCAACAATTCTCAACGCTATGAAAATTTGAAATACTTTTGTTTCAATTTAATCTGTGAAAATAATCACATCAGATCATAAATATATAAAAAAAAACAAAGATTAATTTACACTAAAGAAAATTCGAAAAATTATTAAGCTCCTTCAAAAATATAAGGAAAGCGAGATAATTTTATTTAAATTAAGGCTAAATTTAATTTAGGCCTAAAAACGACGAATAGAAAATGGTAAAAGTGAAATCTATAAAATTTAAAAACTTAAATTAGAAAGTTATCAAGAGAAAAATAATTTGTTTTCAAATATTTTTATGTTTGAAAAAAATGCAAAAGTAATTAATTTTGCAATTAGCATTTTCTCCTGAATTAATCAGAAAAAAAAAATTGAAATTCCATTTAAAATTGTTAATTTTTTTCTTTTTTTTTTTAAAGTTACAGATATTTCCAAAAAATTCATTAATTCTCTATCGTTTTAAACTTTAATCAAAAACATATTAAAATAATTAGTTTTTTTTTTTTCTGTAAACAAATACCTCTACAAATCTCTGATATATAAATAAATATTTTAAACTTTTAAAATAGATTTTAAGTTCGGTACCATACAGTTTTAAAAAAAAAAATACATATATATGAATATAAAAATTTTTTCGGTTCATTCAATTTTCTAACTTTAAATGTTATATATTTAATTTTATGCAAATTTCTGGAAGTTTCATAATTATTTTTTTTTTGAAATCCTAAAGTATTTTTTTCACTTTTGCTTTGCAATATAATACTTTTTTATTTTTTATTTTATTATTTAGCTCTTTTGTGACAATTACTTAACAGTTTTCAATCCATTGCAAACCAACTAATTTAATTGGAATTAGTTTAAATTTAGTTTAAAATTTTGTTTTTCTTTTTCATCTTTCTTTTTTTATGCTTCACAATCTTGGAGCAATCATAATTTTTTTGCACTTTTATTATTATTAAACTTTAAGCTTAACATTTCTAAACAATTGGAAATTCAACACCTTTGACCTTTACATATTAGTGATAATTTTGTTGTCGAAACATCTTTGACCTTTACATATTAGTGATAATTTTGTTGTCGAAACACACCTTTGACCTTTACATATCAGTGAAAATTTTGTTGTCGAAACATCTTTGACCTTCGCATATCATTTAAAAGTAAAAATTTTGTTGTCGGAACACTTTTGACCTTTGCATATCAGTGATAATTTTGTTGTCGAAACATCTTTGACTTTTACATATTACTGATAATTTTGTTGTCGAAACACCTTTGACCTTTGCTTATCAGTGAAACTTTTGTTGTCGATAGGCCTTCAAAATAACTTATCTTTGAATTGACCTATTCTGAAAATTAGAGACATCTTTGACAAATTTCTTTTTTTGATTTCAATATGCTTTAAATTTGTTTCCAAAATTATTTTTGCAAAATTTATTAGTCATTTAATTGTTTTTCAAATCATTTCTACAAAATTTAATTGTTATTTAAATTGAAAATTATTTTCAATGAGTCATTTGTTTACTGCTATGGATTTTTTTTTTAAATTCGATGAATCATTGGAATTTAAAAATTTCTCAGTTAATTTTAGTTTCAAATAATTACAATAAATAATTTATATTTATATTAAAAATTTGATTTTTTTGCAAATTCTTTTGAGTTAAAATTTTCATTTTGTAATTTTTTCAAAATTAATTTATTAATGCTAAAATTATTTTTATAACATTTTAGGATTTGAGTAATAAAGTAGAAGCTGGAACAAAAACATTTGAAGAGCATTTACAAAATGTTGCTAATCGTATTGTTCAGTATCAGAATTATTTCAAGGTATTTTAAGATTCTACAAAAATTTTATTGGGAAATTAAAATAAATAAAAATTTAAATTAGAAATGAAATTATTTTCGAACAAAAATTACATACTTTGATTTTATGAAAAAACTAAATAAAATTCTATTATTTCAATTCAATTCAAAAAAAAAAAAATCTGAATGATACCTTTTGTAAAGTGGCAAAATCTTTTAAAATAATTTTAAAATAAAAAAAAAATAAATTCAAAAAAAAAAAATAAATAAATAAATTGCATTCCGGAATATTAATTAATGAAAAAAAAAACATTTGAGGAATTTGTGAAATATGCATCACGAGCTAAGCTTAATACAAAAATAATGCAAAAAGCACTTGAATTGATGATGTCAGTTCCGGAACGTGCAAACGATATGATATATATCCGGAATATTGAACAGTATCCCGGTGATCTGAATAAACTTGGACGACTTTATAGACATGTTAGTTGTTAAATTTAATTTTTTTTTTAAATTGTTAAATTTAAACATAAAACCAAATAATTAAAATAATTTTCATAATAATGTAAACAATTCAGATAGAAATATTTGGTGATTTTTTTTTTTGTAAATTTATTTTTTTTACTTTATTATTTATAGTTCATTTTTCAAATTTAAAAAAAAAAAATAAGAATGAAGAAAAAATTGCATTCCAAAATAATTTTTACTATTTTATATATTTTAATCTAAATAAATTTAAATAATTAATCATTGAAAATTTTTCTATCCTTAATTCATTTTATGAAAAATTTTTCTGCTTTTATTTTAATTTGGTAAAAAAAAAAAACTGAATTTGATGAATTAAAACAAATAATTGATTATATATTTTAAAAAAATGCCAAAATTTTTATTTAATAAATGATTTATTATTTGTATCGGAAATGAGTTATCATCATATTATAATTTCTAAAGCTTAAATTAAACTTAAATTTAAATTAATAATTAATTTTTTAGGATTCATTTTTGGTTTGGGAAGGTGAACAAGAACCAATTGAACGTTATGTATTTTTATTCAAAAATAAATTAATGTTTACGGATAAAAATAATAGTAAAGATGTACCAACCTATAAACATTACGCTACTATACGGGTAAGTCATTATACTCTATTCAGAGTGTAAAAAATTTTTTTAAATTTAACGAATTATATTTAATTAAATAAATTGAAAATAATTAAAAACTAATAATCATAATAAAAAAAAACGAAAACAAATTGATTCGATTAATTATAAAATAATTAATTGTATGCATAAATTTATTGCATTTTTATAGCTTGACAAATATACAATACGAATTTCGGAAACAGAACCGAATATTTTGGAATTTCAACCAAATGAACCAGGAATTCCGGAATTTCAAATTCGTGCAAAAGATATTCAATCGATGGAATTTGTTCGACAAGCTTGGTTAAAAGATATTAATGAAATGAAGGAACATGATGGTATGCTAATTTATTCTTTCAAATTAAATTTTTAATTTTATTTTATCACAAAAGTTTGCAAAAAATAATTTTTGCATTTAATTTGCATTTATTAAATATGTAAATGAAAAAATACTAAAAAAAAAAAAAATCGGTTAATAGTTTAATAGCATCTAAATCAATTATATAATTTTCAAATTTGATTTTTTCCTCTTTTCTCTTTTGTTTATAAAAATACAAATTTTAAATTTTAAATCAGAATTAAAGTTTAAATGCTATCTTTTTAAGTGATATTTTAAACTACAAAAAAATTTAAGTATTATATTAAAAAATATTCTCATATCTTTCTCATATTCCTATCAAAAAAAAAAAAATATTTTAGATAAAATTTAAAAAAAAAGGAAAAAAATAAGTGAGTGAATGAGTGAGTGATTTAATGAACTGAAAAATAAAAGTAAATTATTATTTCAAATTTATAATCTAATATTTAACAATTCAGCCTTTCTCTCTTTTTCTCTTCTAATGTCTTTCTCTACTTGAATCTCTTTCTTCTGCTAATACTTTTAATAAAATTTAACTGAAAGTATGCTTGTAGCAAAGTAAAAGATAAGAAATGAAAATGTAAAGGTACTTGTTAAATGCGTGGGCGGTAAATGTCCTCATTTCATATACTCTCTCTCTCTCTCTCTCTCTCTCTCTCTCTCATCGTTCCAAATAACAATGGCAACAATAACAACAAATGACGATTAGAAATGGAACTAAAGTTCGAAAGATGAAATTTAGTTAGATTTAAAATTTTAACAGAGAGAGAGAGGGAGAGAGAGAGAGGGAGAGAGAGAGAGGGATTTGAGATGGAAGAAGACGAAGAAGAAAGAGTGAAATTGGATTACTTATCATCATCTTTATCTCTTCTTTTTATCACACTTCGTTAAACTATCAAATAAATAAATTTCTCGAAGGTACTGAAAATGAACGAATTTAACTAAAATCTCAGCTAGTTCTTTCATTCTATAACTTTTTCTCTATTCTCTTCACATTCTATCAACACAAATCACATAATGATTCATAAAGAAATAACATAGAAATGTTAGTTAGTTAGTTTGAGTAGTAGAGACTATAAGCTTTAGCTTTAGCTTTAGCTTTAACTCTCGACTGACGAATATTTTGCACTCGATCATCGACCGATCCAACCAACCGACCCATCTATCGACTCACTTTATTCCATCCATTTATCCTACTAGAAATGATAATGTTGTTGGCATAAAATTTATTCTGCTTATTTGTAAATATGCAAATTTTCTTCATCAATTGCAAATGTAAAAGCAGAAGAAGAATTTTAAAAATTTCGAACTGAAATTTAATCCTGATTCATTTTCGTCATCAATAACTAATTGACGTATTAAATTACACTGCTAACTTCCTCATAAAATCTATATTGGAGTGTATATATTATTAGCATTCCTTCTTATTACATCTAACAGCTATCAGAATTTGTAATTCACTGAAAATTCAAATTTAAATTAAAAAGAAGAATAAATAAATAAATTAATTAATTAAACATGGTACTTCGCTGTTTGTATATAATTGAATTAACGGATATGGAAGAAGGTGGCCTAGAATTGGTTGATCCATCATGGTGTAAGTAATTTTTTTTTTTTTTCATTTTTCTAAAATTTTTTATTGGTATTAAAAATTTTGAAAATATTAGAGCAAGATATGGAAGTGGATACAATCAGTGAATTAGATGTAACAATGAGTGATGTTCGATCAGAATTCAGCGAATATTCTACAATTTCGAGAAGCTTGTTTGGTATGATTGATGATGCCAACATTCAACCTTCAAAGGAAACAAGAATTAAAATAAAATTTTAAATTTCAACAAGTACTATTAATTTGGTAGACTTTTATTAGTTTCAACTAGCTAAAATATTTTTACTTTTAGGTCCCGAGGAAGGACCACCACGGAAAAAAATCAAATCACCACCAGTTATATCACCAACCGCTTCAACAACCAGTTTATACAGTGGTGGTAGCAGTTCAATTGACTGGAGTTAGTATTTTTTTTTTTTTTTTTAGATTTTAAATTTGGAAAATGTTTTCAGAATTTGAGTCTAAAATTTATTTATCACATTTGAACCTTTTTTTTTTTGAGAATCAAAATGTAATTTTGTTTCAAAGATAATTTAAATCTAATAATATAATTCATATATAAAATGCAGCACAGTCCTTCAATTTTATTAATTTTTTTTTAAATTAATTCATATTAAATGATTTTTTTTATTAATTCGTTTTCTTTATCAGGAAAAATTTTAGAAAAATAATTTTGATTTAATAAAGCTTTAACTTTTAAAATGTGTATTTTTAGCAACAACCGGTACCACTCTTGACATGCAAGGTACACGTGTTACCAGGACGCAGTATGGTTTCAGAACATTACAAGAATCATCGGCAAAAATGTGCCTTAAAGTTACCGGTTATCCATTACCTGAAATTACTTGGTTATTATTTTCTGCTCTACTAAAATTTGAAAATTGAGAAGTTAAATATAAATAAATTTATTTAATAGGCTTATTTTGCTATAGCATGGCATTTTATACAAAAGTAAACATTATATAATTTGTTTAATAAAATATATTTTAAGCTAATATTACATAAAAATTGTTTTAAAAAAAATATGAAACAATTCAAAAACAAATTACTATAAAGTTTTTTTTTCTTTAATAATAAATATAATAATTATTATTTATTACTTAATGTAATAATTATTACTTTATACCTTTTTTTTACCATTTAACATATCACTAATTAATTATGTTAATATTTTAATTCAATTTTTTAGGTCACTAATTAATTATGTTAAAATTTTAAATTATTAATTCAAATTTTTAGGTATAAAGATGATCAAATGTTAAATGAAGATGAAAGGCATACATTCTATGCGGATGAAGATGGATTCTTTGCTTTAACCATAGATCCGGTACAGGTTGAAGATACCGGACGGTATACATGTATGGCTACTAATGAATACGGACAAGCTTCCACATCTGCGTTCTTCAAAGTACTAAAAGGTAATTTTACAGTAATTTATTTACCACCAATATTTTATTTTCTAATAAAAAATATTTATTATCAAAAATTTAAAACTACCATTAGCAATAGATCCGGTGCGGATTGAAGATTATTTTATATTTCAGAAAAAAAAGAAAGAAAGAAAAAGCAAAATTGATTTTTCTTTTGCAATTATTTAAGTTATTTATGTTTTTCATTTCAAATAATGATATTCTTAAGCTAAATATTTGAAATGACGAATTTGATGAGTAATACAAATAAATGTATGCACAACTGTTAGTTATGTTCAAAGAACAAAAAAGTTCAAAAATAAATATTTAAGTATAAATTATTGTTAAATAAATCATATCTTTTATCATTTATTTAATTAGCTCTAATAAATTAATTATATCTTCAAAAAAACTTTTCAAAAATTTACATTTCATTTTTGAAACTGTAAATTAATATAAAAATTTAATGAAAATGTTTATTAATTTTGAAATGGATATAAGAGATTAATTAATAAACATAAATTTTACCGCAAAGAAAAAAAAAATGGCGAAATCATTAATTAGCTATTCTTTTTTTTTTTTTTAACCAATTATTTTATTATAATATTGAATAGCTGAAAATATTAGGTGGGGAATATCAGGTGACAATTTAAAAAATTTTAAACTATAAAAATGTTTTCCTTCTTTTTCTATCATTTTATTATTACTATTAAAGATATTTGAAATTAAATGAAATTTTTCAGTTGAAAAGGAAGCAGCGCCACCAGCATTTGTCACAACATTATGTGATCAGGAAGTGAAAGAAGGTGAAATGGTGTCATTTGAATGTGAGGTAATGCAACAAAATTAGTTTATTTTAATAATATTAGCTTATCATTAAATTTTTCAAAATTTAAATTTCATTTTTCAAAAAAAAAAAAAAATTTCTTTCTGAATTCATATTTATTTGACAAAAATTTTCATAGTTAAGCAGTAGCAGCAGCAGCAGAAAATCTTGGCTAAGAATGATTCATTTAATTTTCCGGTTTTTTTGTTTTTTCAAAATCAGAAATAGCAGTAATGATTTTAAACATAGTATTTTCCACTGGAAAGATAAGTCTATTATTAAGGTAGAGGGATGGCCGGAACCAGAATTAATTTGGTTAGTTGATGAGCAACCACTTCGACCATCACATGATTTTAAATTAGAATATGATGGACAAAATGCTAAACTGGAAATTCGTGATGCTCAACCTGAAGATACCGGTATCTATACAGTACGGATTAAGAATGAATTTGGTTCAGCTGAATCAAATGCTAGACTGGTTGTGGAACCGGATCCAGACAAGAATCATATTGCACCGGAATTTCAGGTTCTTTTATTGTTGTAGTTTTTTTTTTTTTTTTTGAACTTAAGTTTTATGTACATATAATCCGGAAATCATTCATTATGCTATTTTTATTTGTTCATTTAAATGATATTATTTCTCTATTAATGGTAGCACTTGTTTAATTTTTCTTTTCTTTTTTAAAAAAAATTAAACTAATATGTTTAACAGAAAGTTTATTTTAGATTTTAGTTTGAGTGATAAAATTTATGAAATTAATTATTTTGAATTTGTAGGCAGTAATTGAAGATGTTGAATGCAATGAAGGAGATACGGTTAAATTTAAAGCAGTTGTTACCGGTGATCCTACTCCGGATGTAAGTAACTTTTACTTTTATTCATTAATTTAAGAAAACAATTAATTTATTTTATTAGCATTTGTAAGGTAAAATAATAGCTAAATATAGAATATTTAAATTATAAAATTAATTCAAAAAAGCAATTTTTTTTATAGTTATTTAAAAATTTGAAATTTTTTTTTTTTGTTAAAGTTTCAGTTTTGTTATTTGCTTATTTCTGTATGTTTACAAATAAATTATGAAATTATTTTAGATAATTTGGATGATTAATGGAGTACCATTATCCGAATCAGATAAAATCAAATTTATCAGTGAAGATGGAATTTGTATTCTAACAATTACCGATGTCTCAAGACATTTTGATGGTACTGTGACATGTCAAGTAAGTTATCATTACTGAAAATTTCTTGTACAATCAAAAAATCATTCAAATTTAGTTTTGAAAATTTTGAGTTGAAAATTTTTTTAATGAATATTTCAAAAAAAAAAAAAAAAGGTTAAATAAGAAATTATTCAATTATAATTTTACAACAAAGTTTTTTCTTTTTAATTTTATTTCAGAGTATTAATCGACTTGGCACACAAAATTGTGATGCACAGTTAAAAGTACGGGTACCGCCAAGTCCACCACATTTTGAACGACCACTTGAAGATAAAATTACACAGGAGGAGCAAACAGTTGTCTTAGAAACAGAAGTGAACGGCTTTCCGGATCCAAAAGTATCATTTACGATCAAAGGAAAACCGGTTAGCTACTTTTTTTTTTTTACACCATTACTTATCAGACATTTAGCATCGAATAGGAAGACATTACTATATTTATCAGTGAAATCTTCAAATGTCACTCAAAAATATCTATCACAAAAGAAACTTTCAATTTAGATTGCATAACTGATTTATCGGATAATTGATTACTTCATTTGAATAATTTTTTTTTTTCTTTTCAATATTACTTTTTACCATAAAAATCATTACAACAAACTTTAATTTTCTACTAGGTTAATTCTGAATTTATAATTAAAAAATTTTAAATTCTAATTATCGATTAAAAAGACAAAAATAAAGTGAACAAAAAAAAAAGATTGATTTTAGATTATATCCGGTGAAAATGGTATTGAAATTGTTAGCAGAGGTGATGGATGCTATCGAATTGAAATTTCAAAAGCTAATATTGATTTGCATGACGGTGAAATTGTTTGTACCGCAATTAATGAACACGGACAAGCGGAAAGTAGAGCACGTATTGTTGTGGAATGTATTGATCGAGAATCATTTTCTGCACCAACATTTGTTAAAGATATTGAAGATCAGGTGATAAAAAAAAAATATTTTAAATATTTTTAGATCATTTCTAAAGTAAATCAAATATTACATCAAATTATGAAAGTTTTTTTTTTTTTTTTTTTAACACAAAAAATTTGAAAAATTTTAATTGATTAAAATTTTACAGACAGTTAAATATGGTGAAATGGCAATTTTTGAAACATCAATACGTGGTAATCCAAATCCTGAAATTACCTGGTTTATTAATGGTCAAAAAGTTGATAACATAACACCTGGAATACATCTGGAAACACAATCAGTTACAGATCATAAACTTATCATTGATTCAGCTCAATATGCAGGCACAATTTTATGCAGGTCATTTTTGATCTTTTTAAACATTGAAACCATTTTAACCATTTTTAATTTTAACTTTAATTTTTTTTAATTGAGTTGTAAACATTTTAATGTAATCATTAAATGAATTAGTTTTTTTTTTTTCCAGCAAAATATTAATTAGTTATGCTTAAAATATATAATAAAAAGTTTTTTTTTCAAAAAATTTAAATTTTAGAGCTGAAAATTCAGTTGGACGTTATGAAACAAAAGCAAAATTAACAGTAATTTCTGCTGAAAAAAAGAAACGTGCACCAGAATTTATTGAAAAATTAATCGATACAAATGTTATTGAAGAATCAAATGCGGTTTTTGAGGTACGAGTTGAAGCTGAACCAATGGCTAAATTGAAATGGTTCTTAGGTGAAAAAGAATTAACCGAATCAGAAGTATGTTTTTTTTTTTCTTTTTATTTCATAGTTGAAATTTTAATAATTTAATGATTTTTATATTAATTAATTAATTACTTAATTATTCGTACTCTAACAGAAAAAAAAAGGTGTAAAAATTTGATAAACAACCTATAATGGTAATTTTTATTTCTAAATTACAATATTTTAGCGTGTCAAAATTCGTGAATTTGATGGTAGTTGGAAATTGGAAATTAATAAATTAACAACTGAAGAAAGTGGTATCATTCGTTGTGTAGCAGAGAATTCGGAAGGTAGTTCAGAAACATCAGCGCATTTGACAGTTAGCAAGAAAACATTTGCGCCACAATTTGAAGATCGTCCCAAGAATGTTACCGTTGAACAGGGCCAAGAGGCTCGATTTCAAGCTCATGCAATTGCACTACCTGAACCTGTATATCAATGGTTCATTGGTGGTCGAAAAATTAGAGAAACTACGGAAGGTGCCAAAGTTGAAACTGTCAACGGTGTTTCAACACTTATAATTGATACTAAAATTTTCGATTCTTCTACTATTTCTGTGACAGCTACAAATTCCATTGGTATGTATGTTTTTTTATTTGCAAATAATAATCCTTCAAATGTTAAAATATTAGAATAATTTAATTACCTGGTTTCATTTACCTGTATTAATGAACAAAAGCAAATAAAAGTATTAATTCAGGTGTTGATGAAACGGGCGCTTTGTTGACAGTGCAAGAAAAAGCAATGGAAGAGCAACAAATGAATGTAACCAAAATTTGAGAAAATTTCATTTTTTCTACATTTATTATTTAGAAAAACATTAAACATTAAAATATTAGAACAGTAAACATTAAAATATTAGAACAATAAACATTAAAATATTAGAATAATTTAAACATTAAAATATTAGAACAATTTGAATGAAGATTTGTTCTTTTTAATTTTTCATAATAATAGTTGAGGTTAAATTTTGAATATTTTTAACTAAAAAATAGGAAATTCTTTGGTGGTAAGTCTTAACAATTTTATACAAATTTTTATGCTATGATAGAATGAATGTAAATGAAATATTAGCAAAAAATTAATGAAAAATTTATTATTCATTTTGATTCTTAAATTTTCATCAATCAATCAATAATATCTAACATTTTATTATCGATTCAGAAAAAACCAATGCAACTAATTTTCATTTTTTAAGTAAATAAAAGAAAAATAAAAATTTTTTTTTTTAAAATTTAAAAGTTCAAAAGTTTTGCAGATACCAGTGATCACGAAGGCACTTTATGATCAAACTGTTAAATCTGGTGAAATGGCTAATTTTGAGGTATCTGTTGAATCAAATGATATTATTACAGAATGGTATAGCAATGGGAAACAATTAACCGATGGAATGCCAGGTGTTTCATTGTTTTTTTAAAAAAATATTTTTTTAGAATAAATTCTAAAATAATAAATTCATTAGAATAAGTTGTTTTTCTTTTTTTTTTTGAGTTTTAATTTTTTAAAAATTGCATTGAAATGCATTTAAATGTTCAGAAATTATATTTTCTAAATATATATGTAAAAATTTAATAATAAAAAAATGAAATAATTGTTTTTTTTTTTTTGCAGGAGTAAAAATTTCACATCAAAATTCCAATTTTATATTAACCATTGATTCGGCTCAATATGCTGGTATTATTACTTTTAAAGCTTCAAATAAAGCTGGTAAAGCGGAAAGTAGTGCAAATTTAATTGCAATTCAAGAAAAGATTATCCAGAAAGCACCGGAATTCCTGAATGCACTCAGTGATATTTCGGTGAAAGAAGGTGATAAAGTTGAAGTTACTATTGAATCAACTGGTAATGCTACCTTTGAATGGACATTGAACGAGAAAATATTACAGGTAAAAAAAAAAAAATTGAAAAAAAATAAAAAAAATGCGAATTGAATTTTTAAATTTGAATTTGTTATGAAATAATTTAGAAATTAAATCTAAACTAAAATTATAAAAGAGATAATATTTCTATGAATTATGTATTTATTACTTTTAAATATTTCTAAAAAAAAAAAAGAGAATGGTTTTGCAGAATGGTATTGGAGGTATTACAATTAGAAATGAAGAAAGTAAAAGTATTCTGATATTCGATCAAGTTACACTACAACAAGCTGGTAACATTAAGGTAATAGCAAGTAATGAAGGTGGACAAGCATTCTCATCATTTAATATGACTGTCACTGAAAAGGACATTGCACCTGAAATTATTGCAGGTAAAATTTATTAATTAAATTTCATTTCATTTTATACTTCAAATATCTTTTTACTATTGTAAGTGAAAAAAGATTTTAATTTCAAAAAAAAAAAAAAAATGCTTTAAATATCGCTTTTTTTAAATATCCGTAATGTTAAGGTGTCCTCCTTAATTTTCATTTTATCACTTTTCGATAATTTATCACAAATTATTTTACCGGAAATTTTCTTAGATAATTTTCAATCATTTAGGACCGAATTCATTATCAATTAAAGAGAATGATACAGCTGAATTTCGGGTTGAAATAACTGGAAAACCTACACCAATAGTGAAATGGCAATTAAACGGACGTGAACTATCATCATCATCAGATACAAATATTACAATTAAATCATTTGAAGAAATTTATATTTTAAAAATTGAAAAAGCAAACGTGAAACACGCTGGTGAAGTAGTTGTTACCGCAGAAAATGCAGCTGGTATGGTTGGCAAGGAAGTGGTTTTAAAAGTGCGTAATTTTTTGTTTTCATTTGAGAAATTATAGGAATGTTAAATAAATAAACAAATATTACAATTAATAGTTTAAATTTAAAATTGAATAAATTAAAATTTTCTAGAATTTTTGTTATGCTAAAACAAATATGTATCTTTAATTTTACATTGAAATTTTTAACTTTTTTAAATTTTTTGTTGGAAAAATTTTAAAATTTATTTTATTTATTTATTTATTTATTTACTTATTTTTTTTTAGGTTGAACCAGATGTAACAAAGCCAATATTTAAAACTCATTTAATTGATCGTAGTGTTAATGAAGGTGAACCATTACGATGGGATGTTGCAATTGAACGTCCATATAAAGGTGTCACAGTTAAATGGTTTTTAAACGGCAAAGAATTAACAAATAATGAAAATGTACAAATCATAGATGATGGTATGTGCATTTTTTTAAATAAATTTTTTAATTTAATTAAACTTTTAATCTTACAAAGTTCTAAATTTAATAAACTTTCAATTTCATAAACTTTTAAATTTAATAAATTTTTAATTTTATAAACTTTTAAATTTAACAAACTTTTGATTTCAGAAACTTTTAAATTTAATAAACTTTTAATTTTATAAACTTTTAAATTTAATAAACTTTTAATCTTATAATCATAAAAAAAAATTCAATATTTGAAGAAAAAAAAAAAAAAAAAGAAAGTTCAACATTTAAATAATACTATTGAGATTGGCAAATTTTGAATAATTATTACTTTCAAATATTTAATTGTAAATTTTTATTAAGCATTCATTATTTGATAGTATTAATTAATATCAATTTTCAGGTGAAGGTAAATATCATATAACTATAAATGAAGCTAAATCAGATATGTGTGGAACATTAATTGTTAAAGCAACAAACACCTATGGTACAAGCGAATCACATGCATTTGTTGATGTTAAAGAAGTTAATCGGAAACCGGAAATTATACGACAACCGCAAGATCATACGGTTGAGGAAAATGAAACTGTAAAATTTAGTGCTATCATTTTTGGAAAGCCAACGCCAACTATTAATTGGTATATGGATGAAATGAAATTAGTGAATAGCAGTGAAATTGGTGTTAAATTTGATGAAATCACTGGAAAAACATCAATTAAAATTTTCAAAGCAAATTTAACTGATAGTGGAAAAAAGGTATTATTTTAAAAAATATTCCACGATAATTTCATATTTTAAACGATACTTTTGTGAAATTCTAATGATAGTAAAAAATGGTAATTAAATGAATATAAACTATCACAAATATTATAATTAAATTCATTCGAACAAATATTATAATTAAATTCATATTTTAAAAATTCAAAAAACAAATGTGAAAAATTTTTTCATTTGTTAATTTAATTTAGATTACAATGAAAGCGAAAAATACAGAAGGTGAAGTAGAAGCAAGTGCAATTTTAACTGTTAACAAAAAATCGGAACCACCAAATATTTTAACTGAAATGAAAAGTCGTCAAGTAAATGAAGGTGAAACAGTAAATTTTTCAATTAAAGTAACCGGTTATCCAATTCCGGAAGTAGCATGGTTTCATAATGGTGAACCAATTGTACCTAGCAGGTATGTTGCTTAGCATTTTGTATTTGTTACCAAAAATTATTTATTATTTTTGTTTTTTCATTTATTAGAGTGTTTGTAATAGTTAATTTGCAATGATTTTACATTATTTTAACATAAAATAATAATTTAAAAAAAAAACGATAATTATTAATTTAATATGAAATAATAACAAATTAATTACAAAATTTTATTACACTAACGATTTCATTTTGAAATAATCAAATTTCAATTCAAATTTTAGTAATATCAAAATTACTGAAGAGGATGGTATGCATACATTGGTTTTAAATGATGTTCAACCGGAACAAAGTGGTGAAATTTCATGTGAAGCAAGGAATAGTGTCGGATCTAAAAAGCAATTAGCAACATTAGCAATTAAACCAACCGGAAAAGCACCATTTTTTGAGAGAAATATCGAAGATAAATTGGTGGTAGAAGGAGAAGAATTAATTATGGATGCAAAACTTGCTGAGGTTTTAATCATTATACTAAATTATTGTCAAATTTATTTTTAATTTCATCATTTTTAATCAATATTTCATATTACTTTGACAAATTATAGTAATATAAATTAAAGATATCTCTCAATTAGATACTTCTAATCATCTAGTGATAAAGATGATAAGAATGAATACTTCTAATGATAGCAAACAATTAATTTAAGTTTGAATTTTCTCTTTTTTTCAAAAAAAAAAAAGTTCAAATTGTTTTGTAAATTTTAGGTGAAACCATTTCCTACAATAACATGGTTAAAAGATGGTAAACCATTGCAAAATGATCGTTTTAAATTAAGTCGAGAAGATGATGGAACACTGAAATTGAAAATTGATTCCGTTGAACTGGATGATAAATCACGAATTACAATCCGAGCTGAAAATCAATTTGGATCAGCTGGTATGTAAATAATATCAAAACGATAAGTAAAATTTAAATTTCATTAGTCTTTTTTTTTCTTTGCTTTGAAAAATTGCAATTTATTCATTTGTATCTTAATTATTTGATTTTTGATCTTTAATTATTTAAAAAGCACTAAAATTAGTTTAAAAAATGTTTAGTAAGGCAATGCAAAAGAAAAGTAAAACTCAAATATATTGAGAAATTATTGCATATTCAAAATCAATTTACGGAAAATAAAAAAAAAGTATGAAAAAATAGTTCTGATTAATTTTTTTAATTGTTTTGCATCATTTTCTTTTTTTTTTTTAAATTTCAATTTAATTCAAATAAGATTCCACTTGAATAAACAGATTGTTCGGCATCAATTGGTGTAACTAAGAAGCGACCGATAGCAAAACCGGCTTTCTTATCCGATATACCGGCAACTACGATCACTGAAGGAGAATCTTTGAATGTTAAAGTAATTATCACCGGTGATCCTGCACCATTTACCAAATGGTATATCAATGATCAGGTACCTTTTTTTTTTTAAATTTTCAAAAATGTTAAATTATTAATTAATTTGTCTTTTATTCATTATTATCTTATCATACTTCATTTATCCTAATAGTAATCTCTACTTGATGCTAAATTTTTTTTTTTTTTGCTCGCAAATTTTTAGCTAAATAATTAACAAAGTTTATGAAAAAGTCAAACCATTAGCTAAGATTTACTAACAAAGTTTCAAATTAATTTTGATTTTATAAAAATTCAAAAATGACAAATATTTACAGCTTGTGATAGCAACTGAGGATACAGAAATGAAAGAAGAAAATGGTGTATATTCGTTGACAATTCATGGTTGTACCAAAGATATGACTGGTACCATTAAATGTATTGCATATAATAAAGCTGGTGAGGTAACAGCACAAGGTAGTCTTACTGTTTTGACACCAATACCGGTGGAATTTGAAACTTCACTTTGTGATGCTGTATGTCGTGAAGGTGATACATTAAAATTGAAAGCTGTATTAATGGGTGAACCAACACCAGAAGTTTCATGGTTAGTTTAATATTTTGGTGTAAAAAAAAAAACCCTCATTAATTTAAATTTCTAACATTTCAATAAATTAATTTTTTTTTTTGCACTAAATAATCTATCTAATAGAAGGTATATCAAAAATAAAAATGAAATTTGAAATTAAATTTAAGTTTTAATAACAAAATGTTTTAAATTAAATTATAAATTAAAGGTATGTGAATGGAAAAAAATTGGAAGAATCACAAAATATTAAAATACATGCAGAAAAAGGAACTTATACAGTTACGATTAGAAATATCACATGTGATTATTCTGGAAAGGTATTGATATCAACAAAAAAATTTGTTTAACAATTTTTATGCTTAAATTTTATCATTTTGAAATTAATTCCGGAAGTTTTTTTCCGGAAACTTTTTTTTTTCATAAAAGGAAAATTATTTATTTTGTAAAATTTTAGGTTGTATGTGAAGCAGTAAATGAGTATGGTAAAGCAGTGTCAGAAGCATCACTTCTGGTATTACCACGTGGTGAACCACCAGATTTTATTGAATGGCTTAGCAATGTGAAAGCACGACAAGGGTCACAGGTCACTCATAAGGTAAGCTTATAAATAATTTGTAATAAAAAGGAAATTTTATCAACAATTTTAAATATTTATTAAAAGTTTGTGATAATTACGAGAAATCTGATTAGCAGAGTTTACTGTACGATTGAAATATTAATTAATGATTAAAGACTAAAATTAGAAAAAACAAAAATGAATTATATTTTATAATTATTTACAAAATAAGTTAATTTAGCATACTTTTGCTTTTTTTTTTCTTTTATGTTAATGTCTATTTGTTTGCTCAACAAAATTCAAACAAAATTTCTTAAAATTACTTTTTTCAACTTTTTTTTTTAAATTAAAAAATAATATTTAATTTTTAGGTAGTTTTTACCGGTGATCCAAAACCAAATCTTACTTGGTATATTAACAATGAAGAAATGAAAAATAGTGATGAAATTGTTATTGTTACGGATGAGAATACATCAACGCTAGTGATCAAAAATTTTAATCAGGAAAAGCATACCGGTGAAATTATTTGTAAAGCTGAAAATGATGCTGGTGAAGTATCCTGTACAGCTAGCATGGGTGTAAGTAATTCTGCAAATTTATAATTAGTAAAATTTTCAATTTGAATAATTTTTACAAATGTCAATATTTGAAAAATAACTAGCTAGCAAATTTTATAGATTGTCAATGTTTGCAAAGCATGGATTTTTAAAAATTTTTAAACAAATTAATTTTCAATTTTTGTTTAATTTATTAATAAATTGAATTTTTAGCCTTACACCTCAGATATATTCTCGGAATCACAAACGGAATCTGAAGCAATGGCCGAAGAGGTGCTTAACTTTGAAGAGGGTCCTGAATTTGGTCTGTTAATATTGAAATAATTTTTAAAACGAATTTTAATTTGCTTTTCAAATTTTTAATTTGTAAATATTGTACTGCAAAATAATTCTAAAAGAATTTTTTAATTTTTACATATTTTATGCTTATTTCATTCGTAAATCATTTCAGGTACGGAAATTGATTCCATTGAAGAATTTCAACGTACGCCTACACCAATTATGGCTCCAAAATTCATTACTAAAATTAAGGATACTCGAGCAGCACGTGGACATCAAGCAATCTTTGAATGTGTTGTTCCGGATACCAAAGGTGTTTGTTGTAAGTGGTAAGTTTTTAAATTTCACTTCTTTTCTGTGTTGAAGTAGTGATCTTGACATAATTTTGACCGGAATATCTAAATCGGATTTATATTCTGCAGTATTTCCAGTTAATTTTAGTGTATTTTCTTTTCAGGTTGAAAGATGGCCGTGAAATAGAACTAATTGCAAGAATTCGTGTACAAACTCGAACTATCGAAGGTTATGTAACTAGTGAACTGATCATTGATAATGTTATACCGGAAGATGCCGGAAAATACACCGTTGTGGTGGAAAATGTTGCTGGCACAGATTCTTGTGAAGCAAATCTGAATGTAATCGGTATGTGTACACAATACTCAAATATGATTTCAAATTTTAAATTCATTACTCGAATTTAAAAAATTTTAACTTTTGTTTTTCTTCTAATTTTTTTTTTTAGTTAATAACTTTTATTTGATTAAAAACAAAAAAAAAAGAAAAAAAAATAAACATTAATTGGTAATTTCATTTCATTTTAAAAAGCTATATTAAAGAATCATTCTTGTTTTTTTTTTCTTTTTTCAGAAGTACTTATGAAACCGGAAACATGCGCACCGGAATTTGTTGTTGCTATACAAGATAAAACATGCAATGAAGCGGAAAAAGTTATTTTCGAATGTAAAGTAATCGGTGAACCACAACCAACCGTTTCATGGTTTCATGAAAAGGTTCCTATTTATGTTCTAATAATTGAAGTTGAAAAATTTACAAAATCGATTTATTGATAAAATAGAATTTCGTTGAATTTAATTCTTAAATTGATAAACTATTTTTTTTTTTAGACTGCTATAGTTGAGGAAGCAAGTAAAACAATTATTGAATCGGAAGGTGCTATTCAACGATTAGTAATTGTCTCAGCTGATGTTATTGACCGAGGACAATATACATGTTTGGCTGAAAATGTTGAAGGCAAAGCAGAATCTAAGGCAATTCTTACTGTCTTAGGTAAGTTCATAAATTAAAATATTACTAATGTTGGTGACAATAGGTTGACAATGTATTAGCGGTAAGAATGTTCTTCCTGATTTATATTAGATGAAATTAATTAGTATAGTTTCTTCAACATTTACATTTCATTCTCTTCCAATTTCTTTTCGTAAAAAAAAAAAAAATTACATTATAAAAAATAAATATTTAAGTATTAAAATTAAATATAAAATTAGATTGGAAATGATAATATCATTTGAATGCAATAAATAAATTAACGGCCTGTTACTTCTTTTATTATCCTTGGGCTTTTCATTACTGGGCAATCTCTTTCTTCAACCAACCAACCAACCAACCACCTGTTTCTTTGTTTTCAGCTGAAGCGCCACAATTTACTCGTCACATCAGTTCTAAAGAAGTAAGCATAGGTGAGAAAGTAATTTTGGATTGTTCTGTTAAAGGTTCACCCCAACCAATAGTACAATTTTATCGGGAATCTACCCGAATTATTTCCGATTCTCATCATTTTATCGAACATGATAGCTCGAATGTACACTGGAGAATGATAATTGAGAAAACGGAAGAATCAGATTTCCGAAAGTATCACGCTGTTGCAATTAACTCGGTTGGTATGGCAGAATCAGAAGCAGAAATTAGGCAGAAAGAAGTGAATCGAAAACTAGAATTAACCGGAGTGCTAAAGGATCGAAAAGTTACGGAAGGTGATGAAGTTATTATGGAGGTAAAATTCTCCGGTATTATACCATCAGACGTTAAATGGTTCAAAGATAGCAAGGAAGTTGTGGAAGAAAGAGAAAAAGTTATAATAAAAACTGAAGAAGGACGATCTACACTGGTCATTAAAAATGCAAAACCGGAAGAAAGCGGAAATTATCGGGTTGAATTGATTGATTCGGAATGTAAGGAGACGTCAAGTGCTACTGTTACAGTGGAATCTGTTGCTGTACCACCGCAATTCACAGAAATGCTAACCGATGTTGAAGTTCATGAACTGGAAACAACGGAAATGAAGGTAACTGCAACCGGAGTACCTACACCTGACATACAATGGTTCAAAAATGATGTGCCGGTACAAATCGATAGTGAACGAATATTCGTTCGAGAAACCGGGACCGGTCAGCATATTTTAACCATTAAGCAGATGCAAGTGGAGGATGCTGGTGTTTATTCATGTAAAGCATCTAATAAGGCAGGTTCTGAAGAATGCAAAGCAAATTTTGCGGTACTTGAAGTTTTGCAAGAACCAAGGTTTACCAAAGAATTATCCGAAATTAAGGTGAAGGAAGTAGAAACTGCTGAACTTGCGGTAACAATAACAGGAAAACCGATACCGGAAGTTTGCTGGATCAAAGATGGAATACCTGTAAATATTGATAATGTTCATTTTGCAACCAAACAAGATGAAAATGGACAACATACCTTGGTAATTAAGCAAGCTAGATTAGATGATGCTGGTATTTATTCATGCAAAGCTAGCAATAAAGTTGGTGAAACGGAAACCAAAATTTTATTTGCAGTAGAGCAAGAAATTGAGGTACCACAATTTCTAGAAGAGCTGAAAGAATTTGCGGTGCAAAAAGGTGAAACAGCTGAATTATCGGTAACAGTAATTGGAAAACCAACACCAGAAATAGCATGGTATAAAGATGGAATACCAGTAAACATTGACAACAAACACATTCTAATGAAAACAAATGAACAAGGCCAATCAACATTAATTATTAAGCAAACTGGTTTAAAAGATAGCGGTGTTTACTCATGCAAAGCTACCAATATAATTGGAATAGCTAAAAGTGAAGCTAAATTTGCGGTTGAAGAATTTCTCGAAGAACCAAAATTCATTGAATGTTTACAAGAGGTTTCAGTGCAAGAAAATGAAACAGCACAACTTTCAGTTACGGTGGTTGGAAAACCATCACCTGAGGTAGTATGGTTGAAAGATGGTGTACCAATTAATATTGATAATGAGCATATCATTTCGAAGAAAGATGAACAAGGACATCATACATTGATAATTAAAGAAGCTCAACTGAAAGATATTGGTACTTACTCATGTAAAGCGATCAATTCAGCTGGTACCAAAGAATTAGAAACAAAATTAGCTGTTATATCAGAATTGATACCACCATTATTTACAGATGAAATTGGTGAATTAGAAATACAAGAAGGTGAAAAAGCCGAATTGAAATGTACCGTTATTGGTAAACCAATACCAGAGGTAACTTGGTTAAGAAATGGTATTGTGATACAGATTGATAATACACATTTCTTTAAAAAAGATGATGAAACTGGAAGACAAACATTAATAATTGCTAATGTAAATAGCGAAGATTTTGGTACCTATACATGTATTGCTACAAATTCAGTTGGTAGTGCTGAAATTGCTGGAAAAATTAAATTTCCAAAATATGGTTTTGAAAGGATGCAAGAGGAAGAAGTTAAACCAATGTTTATTGAACCATTAGAAACACATACCGTTAAAGAAGGTGAAACAATCAGTATAAAATGTCGAGTAAATGAAAATGCTGGTGCTGATATTCATTGGTACCTAGGTGATAAGCCAATTGAACCAAATGAACATTTAATGGTGGAAAAACTTGAAAATGGTATTATGAAGCTAATAATTCAAAATGCTACCAAAGAAGATGTTGGTGTATACCGTTGTGAAGCAATTAATAAATCCGGAAAAGCAGCAACAACAGCAAAGCTTAATTTTGCAATTGAGGAAAATTTGGCAGAAGCAGAAGATGAGCTACCTGCTTCAATTGGATTTATTCAACCATTGAGCGATATTGTCACAGCAGATAATTCAACAGCAGAATTGTCATGTGCTTTGAGTGCTACCAGAGGTGATGTTCAGGTACATTGGTCTAAAGATGGTTTAGAAGTATCACCACAACATGTCACCATTGAGCAACTTCTTGATGGTACTCAGAAATTAAAAATTGCTAAAGTAACCGCAGAAGATGCTGGAACATATCGATGTACCGCTTCCATTGGTGATTCATCTGCATGGACCGAAGGAAAAATCACCATTCTAGGTTCACAGTATTTTAGGATAATTTCTCATGAAATCTTTTAGGTATTGCTTTCATTTCATATGATAACTGAGAAGCAAATAGATTTTTCGGTTGAAAATTTTTTGAATTTCAAAAGTTTGAACCTTTGTGTTTTTTTTTTCAATTTTTATACTGAAATTTCGAGAAACATTTGCATCTTAGGAAGCAATCACTTAAAAGATTTCTAATACAGTTAAGATTTAAGCATGCTCAATCATTTTTTTTTTTTATTTTAAGCTTAATAATAATTAAAAACTAATATGCATGCGCATATGTCCAATAAGATTTAAGTTTACATGCTATATTGACAAATAATATTTCTTTTCAACAATTTCTATCATTCAAATTTATAAAAATTAAATTAAATTAAAATTGTTTTTGCTATTTTTATTCCATCTTGGATATTTCCGCTTTTATGCTAACTTGATCTCTTGCTATCTGAAGCTTTTCTTTAATCTATTTCAAAATATATTAAATTTTGTTTATTCATTTAATTTCTAGCTATAATTTAATTTTAGAACAAGCAAAAGCAACAGTGCAAGATGAAGGACCACCAGAATTTACGGAACTTTTGAAATCTTGCACAGTAGCTGAAAATGCTGAAATTATCCTTCAATGCAAACTGAAAGGCTTGCCAAAACCAACGATATCCTGGATGAAAGATGGTACCAAGGTAAATGAATTTTACGTGTACGATTTCAAATTAATATAAAAAAAAAATGTGACAATATAAATTGGATAATTTTACTTTATAAAAGATATCACAGAACTTTCTGACAAAGTTTTAAGATTACAAATTTTAATTTAACATTTTAAACGTAGCAAATAATTAATAAAAATATTCGTAAAAGTGTAATTAATATTTTGATTATTAAAAATTAATGTAAGTATAATTCATTTTTAATATTTTTTAGCTATTTGAAATTTGCATCCTAAAAATATGCATGGAAAAATAGTTTTTTATTTTCAGTTGGATCAAAATCATCGTGTAATTACAGAGTACCATGAAGATGGTACCATTATATTGAAAATTAAAAATGCCAGGAAAGAGGATAGTGGTGAATATCGATGTGATGCAGTTAATACATTTGGTGCTGCTTGGACTGCTGGACCTGTTCGGGTTGCAACCGAATCAGAATTACAACGAGAAGGCGAAGCACCTGATTTTATTGAACCGATCAAACCTGTTACTGTAAGGCTTTTAATATATGATTCAAAAATTTTGAATTGCAAGAATTTTATGTTAACAATAAAGTCTAAAATTATTTATATTCAATTTTTATTTCTTTTTATTTCAGGTTTCAGTTAGTGAAACAGCAATATTAGAGGGTAAAGTGAAAGGGGAACCAAAACCAGAGATTAAATGGTTTAATGGTGAGAATATTGTGAAGGAAACCTCAAACATTCAGCTAGAAAATCTTCCGGATGGTACTCAAAGACTTACAATTAAAAATGCAACCGTTGATGATACCGGAGAGTATCGTTGTGTTGCAAGTAATCAATACGGTGATGTATGGTGTGATGTTACACTTACCGTTCAAGGTTTTTTTTTTTTTTTTTGAAATTAAATTTTTTAACCAAATTATTCTCAAATTTTTTGAATGAATCATTGAAAGTCAAAATGAAATCCTTTTTTTTTTTTAAATTTCATAGTCTAAAATTATTGGTATGTTTAATTTTAGTTCCTATATCAGAGGAAGAAGGTGCAAATGAATATGCAGCACCAACATTTTTGAGAACCTTAGAAGGAATTCATGCTAAAGAATTAGAACATGTTGTATTAGAATGTAAAATTGTTGGTGAACCAATGCCTGAAATTAAATGGTTTAAGGTAGGAGGAATTTTGTATTGTAAATAAATATAGTTTATTTATTTATTTATTTATTTTTTTCATATATATTTTCCTCATAATTAAATTGATCGTTCTCTTTAGATTGTGAAGAATTCAGAATAAAAAAAAAAAAAACGAATTTAAAAAACAAAATTTAAAAAAAAGAAAGAAAATGAAAAACGAATCATTTTAATCTTTTAATTTGAAAATTTGTAGTATGTTCGTAACTTTTCAAGAATTTTTAAATTAATGTTTCCTCCTTTCTTTTTTTTTTCTTTGATCATTATGAGTATTTTATTTTTAATTTTAGGATAAAAAGGAAATTAGTGCAAATGATACACATTTCAAAAAGGAAACACTTCCGGATGGTACAGCTCGGTTAATTATTGATTCGGTTAATAAGGTATTTAAATTTTTTTTTTTTCTGATTGAAATTGATTGATTTTTTTTTTGAATTTTAATCATTCTATGAGATAAATTATGCAAATTTACTTACAGGATGATACTGGTGAATTCAGATGTGAAGCACAGAATAACTTTGGTACAGCACGTACAGATGCTATGCTAAATGTTTGGTATGATTTTGAGGTACCAGTGCAAAGTGAAATTTCACCAGAATTTGCACAGGAATTGAAAGCAGTACAGGCTACTGAAGGACAACAAATTTCATTTGAATGTCGGTAAGTACCGTATCATTTTAGCAATTTATCGCATAAATTTTGTACTTATGAAATTTTTTTAAAAATTTTGAACTGTTGAAAAATATTGCAACAATAAAATGAGAAATTTAATAAATAATTAGTCAGTTTAAAGTATTATTGATTATATTATCCTTAGAGATTAATATATTTTATTTATTTTTTGTTTTAGAGTAGTTGGTGTTCCTGTACCAGAGGTAAAATGGTTTAGAGATGGTGAAGAAGTAAAATCTGATGAACATGTCCGTATCGAAAGTCTACCGGATGGTACCAATCGTTTAGTGATTGATTCAGTTAGTGTTGAAGATCAAGGTAATTATCGATGTGAAGCAACAAATAGCGCCGGATCGATGAGTTCAAAAGCTCCATTAACCGTTCATGGTGAAATATTTTGCAATAAATAATTTGTATAATCTAATTTTTCAAAATTTTGCATTAAAACCTATGATAAGATTATGTAAATTATAAAAGTTTTTATATTCGAATTAGAATTAAAATTAAAATCTTACAGAACAAAAAAAAAAAATGATTGAAATCCTTTTAATATCAAAATATTTTAGAAGTGGAAACGTTAAAGTTGAAAAAAGGCTTAGTAGATACGAAAGTGGAAATTGGAACTAAGATTCGATTGTTCATTGAAATTGAAGGAAAACCAAAAACAGTACGATGGTTTCATGGAAAGGATGAAATTAAAGCAAACAAGTTTGGATGAATTTTTTTTTTTTTTTTTTTGTTTTTTAACAAACTGAGAATTTGATGATAAGAGATAGTAGGAAAATTGATAAAAGATAAAAAAGGATTAAGAAATTTTGTACTGAAATAAGCTAATATCTGTTATCAGAAATGGTTTAAGGTGAAAATTTGACAGAATTGATTTTAGTTTTCTTTTGCAAATTTTTTCCTTCTATACTTATAATCTAATAATTTTTGAAGAAATTTTTCTAATTAAAATTACGGAATAATAAAACTATTTTTAGACGAACAAAACTGGAAACAATTACGCAAAATGAGTATAGCTTAGAAACTGATAAAGCGGAAAGTTCAGATGAAGGTACTTATCGTGTAGTTTTATCAACTGATACGGAAATGGTTGAATCATCATGTGCAGTAACCGTATTCGAACATGAAACAGTACCGGTATTTCGGAAAGGTCTTCAGGATCAGAATGTACCGAAAGGAACCAAACTTGTCCTTGAGGTAGACAGTTTCACTTTGTAAACAGAAATGATTTTGCAATGAATTTAAAAGGAAAAGAAAAACTAAAATTTAGAATTGAATTATGAAATTTTTGGATTAAAAAATTCCATTTTATAGCAATAATTGTAAAAATTCAAACAATTTAAATTAAACTAAAATTTAGATAATAATTTATGTTAATTTATGCATTTCGAACGGAACATTTTATGCTAAAATTTGAATTTTCAGATCGAATTAGATGGTACACCGAAACAGATTAAATGGTTAAAATCCGGTATACCGATTGATGATAAAATAATGAAAGCGAAAGATCTTGGTAATGGAAAATATCAGTTAGTAATAGATGAAATTAAGGAAAATGATACCGGTGAATATACCGTACAGGTATCTAACGATGCCGGAACAATCGAATCAAAAGCAAATATTACTCTAAAAAAAGGTACCATAATTTACAATTATTTCTTTTGACAAAATAATTGTAAATTTCGTTTATAAAATAAATTTTCAGAGAAACCGGAAATTATCAGTAAATTAAAGCCAGTAACAGTTGAAGTTGGTGAAAAAGTAACATTTGAAGTGGAAACTAAAGGAACAATCAAACAAGTTAAATGGTTAGTTATTGAAATAAATTTTAGTATACTTTAAAATTTCTAAAAACTTTCTATCTAAAAGATAGCAAAGAGTAAATTTCTCTTTTTTTTAAAAAAAAAATAGATTTTAAACAAATTGTAAATTTATGAATTTTTTTTTTTTTGATTTTGAAAAAAGGAAATTTGTTGTTTTTGTCGCGGTTTATTCAATTCAATTTGAAATGAAAATACGAAATTGTTAACTCATTGTAAGAGCAAAGTATTCCGGAATTTTTTTTTTTTTTTAGGTATAAGAATGGCGTAGAAGCAAAAAATGTTGAAACGAAGAAAATCGGTGATAACAAATATCAGTTAATTATTGATAAGGCAACAAAAGACGACGAAGCTGAATATAAGGTTTAACACTTTAAAAAAGACTTTAAATAACCAAAAGTAAATAAATTATAGAATAAATAAATCAATAATTTAAATTATTTGAATGTCGTATATATTAACAGGAAATTTCTAGAAACTGATAAAATTTTCAATTATTCCTCATCAAATATTTTTTATTTAATGTAGTTTTAATTACAAGTTATTTGAATATTTTTTGGTTTATTGAAATTTTAATAATGATTTGATCAAGTTTATTTTGAAAAAAAAAATTAATTTTGGATAAAATTTTCAATTATTCCTCATCAAATATTTTTTATTTAATGTAGTTTTAATTACAAATTATTTGAATATTTTTTGGTTTACTGAAATTTTAATAATGATTTGATCAAGTTTATTTTGAAAAAAAAAATTAATTTTAGGCTAAAATTAATTTTTTTTTTTTTCAGGTTGTGTTGTCAAATGAAGAAGGTGATGCCGAGTCATTAGCTAAACTTACCGTAAAACTACCGAAAATTGAATTTACTAAAAGTTTAGAGGACCAAACGGTTGATGCTGGTACCAAGGCTGTCCTAAGCATCGAAGTTAATTTACCTCCAAAACAAGTTAAATGGTAAACGATAATCTTTCAAAAGTTTTTTTTTTTTTTGTAATGTTAATTAACTTTTCTAAACAAATTAGTGATGCGACAATAATTCAATGGAAATCTAAGATAAATATAAATTTTGAGGTACAAGAACGGCAAAGAAATCACTGGAAGTGATAAGGCTAAACCGAATAAGCCCAATGATAATACTTATCAATTGGTGATACCAGATGCAGGCAAAGATGATACTGCTGAATATAAAGTACGCTTCAGTTTTGTACTTATCAGAGTTTCTTTTTTGTTTATTTTAATTTTGAAATTGCTAAGAGCAATAATTTATTTGAATATCTGATCATTTGTTAACTCTGTACGAAGACACATTTCAAATTCAGTTGTCTATTTATCAGTCTTATCACTTATCAGTCTTATCTTCTCAATCTGTTAACTTCAGGTTGTACTTATCACTGATGATGAAACTGTCGATTCTTCTTGTGCGTTAACAGTAAAGTTACCAAAGTTAATTATTATAAGAGGCTTAGAAAATCAATCTGTTAATGCTGGTGAAAAAGTATTACTTGGTGTCGAGGTTAATACGCCACCGAAATCGGTTAAATGGTAAGTAAACCGGTTCAAGCTATTATTACCTATTCCGGTAGAGTAACGATCAGATCAAAAAATTAAGCACAAAATTTATTCTTACGAATTTTAAGCACTTTCTTATGCTTATTTTTAGGTATAAAAATGGTAGAGAAATTGGCTCAGATGATAAGGCAAAACCGATAAAAGTTAATGATAAAAATTATCAACTTGAAATATCTAATGCTACAGAAGATGATGCTTTTGATTATAAGGTTTGCAAAAGTTTTTTAACATTCCTTTTTTTCTTTTTTTTTTTTGCATAAATATTAAGCATTTGAAATAATAAATTGAAATTTTGCTCCTTTATCAATTTCAGATTATACTTTCAAATGAGGAAGATAGTGTGGAATCGAGTTGTACGTTAACGGTTAAAAAACCAATTGAAAAGCCATCAATCAAAAAAGGAATTGAAGATCAGTTTATTGCAGTTGGAAAATCTCTGGAAATTGCAATTGAGGTTACTTAATTTATTTTCTTTACCACTTTTTGTTTTTCTTAATTTTGAAAAATTTCAAAATTTAAAACTTGCATTGAAGTGTTGAGTTGAAAATTTTTAAATTTTTTTTTAGCACTTTCAAATTTTAAAAATCTTTAAAAATGAACCAAGAAAATAGCAATACTTGTGAATTAATTTTACAGACAAAAGGTGAGCCAAAAGTTGTAAAATGGTATAAAAATGGGCAGTTATTATCAGGCGAAACAAGTAAAACAGTTAAAACAGATAAGATTGATGATAACAATTATGTGTTAAAAGTCGAGAAATGTACTTTGGATGATAGTGGTACTTATTCGGTTGAAGTACAAAATGAAGCAGGTCAAGCTAAAAGTTCAGGCGAGGTAATTTAATTTCTCTTCTTTTTTTCATTATCTTTGCTAATATTGTTATTATCTTTTCATTATCAATCTTTTATCAGTTAGCTAAACTTCTTTTCATTATCAGTCTTTCATTAATTAGCTAACTGATATCAGCAATTTCTACAATTTAATTAGTATTATCAATTGTAACATTTATATCACTGATAATATATGACATTTGAATATATTTATTTATACTATTTTGTTGCTATCAAAAAATTTGTATTTTAATTTCAAATTTTATCAGAGAACTTTCTAGATAATCGTCGAAGATAAGCTAAGCTTTTTGACACCATTGGAAGATATTGAAGTGATTGAAGCTGAACAAGCGGTATTTATGGTTGAAACAAATGTTCATCCACGAATTGTTAAATGGTATAAAAATGGCCAAGAAATTAAGGCTGTAAGTGGTCGAATCGAAATGAAAGATAATACGACGAGATTTCAACTTATCATTAAAAAAGCTGAAAGTGATGATAAAGCTGATTATAAGGTATTTATAAGCATATTCAAATAACAGTACTCTTTACTAGTATATATCTTAATCATTCAATTGATTATTTTTCAATGCTTTCTGTTAATTTTAAAATATTAATGTAAAATTTTTTTTTTGTTATTTGTAAAGGATTTTTGAAAGAAATTAATTTTTTTGAAACGCTACGATTGTCTCTAAAAGATTTTAATGATTAAATTTCACAGTTGAAATCTATTTAATTTTTGAAATATTTTTTTTTATAATTTTAGGTTGTCTTATCGAATAGCGCCGGAGATTTGGAATCATCAGCAAAATTAACAGTGAAAAAATCAAAGGGTCAACCAAAAATTATTAAAGGTTTAGAGGATCAGGTAACTCTTAATTCTTTGTTTTCTTTTTTTTTTTCTTCTAAATTCTAGATTAAAATAAATGATGTTAAATTAAGTTCTAAATTGATAAAAATAGAAAAAAAAATTTTTGAAAAATAAACAAAGATTTTGATTATTCAAGATTGAATGAATTACTCATGTTTATTCAGGTTATTGCAAAAGGTGATCAATTGATACTGGAAATTAAGGTGGATGAAGAACCAACTGAAGTTCGATGGCTCAAAAATGGCATTGCACTTCCGAAAAATGTTGACGCTAAAATTGAAAAAGTTGATGAGCAATTGTGAGCAATTTTAATTTACAATTCATTTTCAATTACAGTCTATAAAATTTTGTCTCATTTGTCTCATTAATTAAAAGTTAATTTAACTAAATTTTTTTTAACTAATGTTACTTTTAAAACTTTAAAGTATCATTTAGAATAGCTTTTCTAGGTATCGTTTAACAATTCCACAAGTTGATACTACCGATGCAGGTGCATATAGTGTTGAAGTAATTAATGAAGTTGGCAAAGTGCAAAGTACTGGCAATGTGGATGTTGATTTAAAGCCTGAAATTGTTAAAGGCCTAGAAGATTGTGAAGTTAATGAAGGTGATGAGCAATTGTTCAAGGTTGAAACAAATGTACCTGTTCGAGAAGTTAAATGGTAAAATTTCATTCTCATTTTATCAATTAATAATTTAAATATACAGGTTTATTCAATTTGTACAAGTTTGATTTGCTATTAAATTTTATTTTAAATTTGATGCTTAAAATTGAAATCTTTATTTGATCTCTTCAAATTACAATTTTTATTGTTAATTTTAGGTATAAGAATGGTCAAGAAATAAAGCCTTCACCAAAGATAATTACGAAACAAATTACTTCGAAAAAGTTTGAACTTATTGTTCCTGAAGCATCAATGGACGATACTGCCACCTATAAGGTATCTCTTTTTTTAAATTTAAATATTGAAATTAAAATATTTTGGAGTTTAAAAGTATTAGATGGATTTTGCATTGATGTATTAAAGAAGATCAATTATTCTTATATATCTTTTTAGCATATTAGAAAAAATATAAATTAAATAACTTTTAAATGAATCATTTTGCAAAAGCAAAGTAATAATGAATTAACTAAGCAGAATAAATATAATTCAGTTCAATTATTACCTGTAGCAGATTTTAATAAGTTCATTTATTTCAGGTAATGCTTAGTAATAAAGCTGGCACTTGTGATTCATCAGCTAATTTAAGTGTTGTAAAGCCTAATGTGCTAAAAGTTCTTGAAAATCTGAAAGATGTTGAAGTAAATGAAGGTGAACCGATCAAACTATCTATTAAAGTTGAAGGACAACCAAGAACTGTCAAATGGTTCAAAAATGGCCAAGAAATTAAGCCAGATGATCGTGTGCAAATTGTAAGTATTTGCTTATCAAAGTATTTACTTTTTAGTATCTTAAACTTTTCATTTTTAAATATATCAGTTTTTTCCTGAAATATGCAATGAAATTTAATTGTAGTTATTCATTTGTTTATTTATTTTTCCAATTCATTTTTTGTGCATATTATAATTTTGAAAAAAATTAATTTTGTAGACAGAAAATCCTGAAACTGGTGTGTATACGTTAACAATACCGGAAAGTTTAGCATCAGATGACGCCGCATATCGTGTGGTACTGTCGAATAAACTTGGCGAAGTGCAAAGTGGCTCTATTAGTCGTGTCAAATGTAAAACTTTATTGAATTATCTTTTTAGGCAAATAAGTTTAAAAAATTTTCATCTGTAGTATTAGTTGGATTTTGGAAAGTTTTGAAATTAAATTATGAATGATAAAATTTGAATAATTTTTAGCAAAGAAAATAGAACCAATCATAAGTGCAGCAACTTTTATTACACCATTGGAAGATGTTGTTTTACCAGAAGGTGCCAATTTAACTCTAAAATGTAAAGTATCCGGTGAGCCAACACCAACACTTAAATGGTTTGTACTTTTTAATTATATTAGATTTAAAGTAATATAAAGTTATGTCTTAGGATTACTTCACAGCTATGCAAATTTTCATTTTAAAAAGCACACAAATAATGCATAATATACAGCAAAATTTAAAATTAATTCATTTCGATTATAATATTAACAAAAATTCAAGTTTGAAAAAAAAAAAAGAATCATATTTCAGGTATAAAAATGGTAACGAAATTATTAAAAATGATCGTATTGTAATGCGTATGACATTAGATGGTACAGCAACGTTACGTATTCTGGATAGTAAGAAGGAAGATACCGGTAGATATACGGTTACAGCAATTAATTCAGCTGGTGAATCGAAATCTGAATGTAGTGTTCAAATCTTAGACAGTGACGAATTACCATCAGAACCGAAATTTGTTATTCCGCTTAAAGATGTGGTAGCAGAAATTGGTACCAAAGCTGAATTCAATGTTAAAGTTCGTGGTATACCAAAACCTACACTTAAATGGTATATATTCTAATTTTATGAAATTTTTTTTTTTTTTTTTTTTAGATTGACTCATTAGTTTTAGGCAGTTTGATTTTTTCATTAAATTTTTTCATACTTCAATCAATATATCAGTAGTGATAAATATGAAAAAACAAAAAAAACAAATTAATTAAAATATCATAATTTTTAGGTTTCTTAGGGTTTTTTTTTTCCTTTTTGGGTTACTTAATAATATGATAATTTTAGGTTAATTGCTAATCAAGATGTGTCACATTTGGATGGTATTAAAATTGAAGATTTAAATGATGGTAATTGGACAATGATTATTGAAAATGTTACTGAAGCATTTATTGGTCGTATTAAATGTATTGCAATGAATGAAAATGGCAAAACAGAATGCGAATCACAACTAATTCAAACTGAGTCAAAAATTGGAAAAGTAAAAAGTGACGAAGGTTATCCACCAAAATTCAATGTACCATTATGGGATCGACGAATACTGGAGGGACAAGTTACAACAATTGAATGTCATGTTGATGCTAAACCAATTGCTAATATTATTTGGACAAAGGTAAACATTTATTAATTTAATTTTTTTTTTAAAAATTAAAATTAATAAATAAATGTTTTGCATGGAAAGTTTTTTTTTTTTTTAGGATGGTATTACTTTAACAGAATCAGATCGTATTGAAATTCGTAATACACCAGATGGTGCATGTCGTATACGAATTAATAATTTTTGTGATGATGATGTTGGTACCTATAAATGTACTGCTACAAATACATTTGGTGTTGCTGATACACGATCAAATCTTAATATTCAAAGTTAGTGAAATTTTCATATTTTTTTTTTCTAAATTTTTTAAATAAATATTTTAATTTGATTTTTTTTTTAGGCTCAAATAAACAAATTTTTAGTTTTAATTGAAATAAAAAAAAAAAAAATGTGTAAAAATTTTTTAGTAAAAGAAAAAGAAGAAATAGTAGCAAAAAAAGAATTTCCTCCACGTTTCAATCCACCACTTATGGATAAATTTGCGGATATCGATGAGACAGTCCGTCTATCCTGTAAAGTTGATGCATCACCAAAAGCAACTATAACCTGGTATAAGGATGGAGTACCATTACGGAGTAATAATCGTATTATCATCGAGAATGATAACGATGGTAATTGTTTGTTGACAATCAATCACAGCACCGAATCGGATGATGGCGCTTATCGTTGTGTTGCTATCAATGATATTGGTTTGTTTATTTATTTATTTATTTGTTTGTTTGTTTGTTTGTTTGTTTGTTTTTCATTCCTCTTTTTTTTTCTAGTATTTTACTATAAAATTTCATTTCAGATTATAAAATTTGTAGTTTTTTGTTTTAAGTAAGAAAATTTAAATATTCAAATGCAAAAAAAAAAAAAGAATTTGAAATTTAAATCTTAATGAAAGAATAATAATTTTAATATCATATTAACTTTAATCACTTTTAAATTTTTGAAAGGAAAGAAAAAAAAACAAATTTTGATAGAATTTTATTATAGGTAGCTGTAATTCAGCTTGTATGGTATCTATTCGTAAGATAAAAGAAGAAATTAAAAAAGAAGGTGAAGAACCATTTTTCACCAAAGGTTTGGTGGATAAATGGTTGGAACGTGGTGATAAGTTAATCTTACAATGTACCGTAATTGGTGAACCAAAACCAGAAATTCGTTGGTATAATTATAGTTTTAATTTCTTATAATTAGTTTGAAAAAAAAAGGAAAAGAAAAGAAAAGAAAAGGAAGATTAAATTTTCATAAAAATATTCATATATAAAATTATAATTTTAAAAAATTATAATTTTTATTGTTTCTTTTTTAATTTCAAAGGTATCGTAATGGAATTTTATTACGATCAAATAACAAAATTAACATTGAAAATACATCGGATGGTTTATGCACATTAACAATTGATGAATGCGCAATGTGTGATGAAGGAATTTATCGTTGTGATGCTGAAAATTGTAATGGAAAAGCACGAACACAATCAACTATACATATTGAAAGTTAGTTTAAATTAAATTTTGATAGTACTAATTTTGAAATGATTAAATTTTAGAGCAAAAAAAATTTTTTTTTTAAGTAAATTATTTGAATTTTCTTTTTTTTTTTTTGCAGGACCAATTGAAAAACTGGAAAAGAAGGTTGTCGAAGGTGAAGCACCACGGTTTATCATACCACTTCAGGATATAACAGTTTATACCGGTTCCACAATTGATTTAGAATGTAAAGTAGTTGGTGATCCAATGCCAACAATTAAATGGTAAATTTAATTGAAATTTAATATGTAGGCATTATTATACCGGAAATAACCTGAAATCATTCATTACTATTATTACTGGTTAGAATATGCATAGTAGTTGAGAGTTCAAAAATTTTTGAAATTTTTTAATCCAGGTCGAAAGATGGTATGATACTTCGTGATGATTCACGTTATCAATGGGAAATAGATAGTACTGCTGGTACTTATCGGTTGAAGGTTTGAATTTCATTTATTTTATTCGAAAATTTTTAATAAATTTAAAACATTTATAATTCAAGTAATCAATATATTAATTTATTTAAAAATAATTGTATAATTTTTTAAATTATATATAATTGATGAATAATTTTTCTTTCTTTTTTTTTCTTTTTTACAAAAATATTTACCTGTAATGGTATGAAAAAATTTTATATTTTAGTAACTTATATATTAAAGTATAAATTGAAAATTTTAAACATAGAATTTAAAGAAATTGTTTCTAAAATTATGAATTAATTCAAAAAAAAAAATAAATAAATAAATATTTAGATTAATGATGCAAATGTGAATGATGAAGGTGCATATCGATGTGTTGCAACGAATATTGCTGGTTCAGCTACTACAAAATCATTTGTCAGAATAGATGGTATTATATTTCAAAAAAATAAAAAAATAAATAAAATAAAAAATAAAAAATTTCTTCAATTAAACTATTATTTAGATATTTAATTAGTATTTTTAATATTTCAGAAAAAAAAGAAAATTTGTTTTATTAAATTATCATTTAGATATTTAAAATCAGTATTGTTGATTTACAGTACTAGTAGAAATTTGAATTTCTAATTAATTATATGTATTTTTAAAGTATAACTTTTTAGATGGTAGCTTAATTCAAAAGCCATCTTCCAATGAACCACCTCGTTTTAGCATTGCTTTGGGTGATGCACGTGCTGTTGAAGGTATGTTACGTTTAATTACTTTAATTTATTACTTCAGCAATTTCAAAATTTCATTTTAGAATATTACAGAATAATCTTTTTGAAATTTTCGTAAAGTTTTCTTTCTTTTTTTTTTTTTTTTTTTTAGGTCAACCGTTGAAATTGGAATGTAAGATTGAAGGAGCACCTTTGACTGATCTTATTTGGTACAAAGATGGTGAACGAATCATTCCTGATGATAGAATTAAGATTGAATCTGATTCAGATGGCCGAATACGTCTTATTATTAATTCATGCATTGCAAATGATGAAGGTATACTTTTAAGAATGAATTTTATAATTTAGAATAATTTTAAAAATATCACTGATAAAAGAGAAATAATTTCAGTTGATTAAATTAATTAAATTTAACTTACTTAATTTTAGGTTTATATCGAGTAATTGCAACAAATCCATTTGGTTCAGCACATAGTAAAGCTACTGCAACAGTTAAAAAAGTGCTCGAAGATGCAACCAATGGTTTTATTGATGGGTAAGGAATTTTTTAAAAATTTAAGAAAAAATGAAATATCAATAGTTTAGTTTTAGAATTTTTTTTTTCTTCAAATGTCTTCAATAATAGTTTTTCTGAAAAGTTACATCAATTTTTCTCAAATTATCCATGGTGGTTAACACATGATATTTTTGATCGGAATCAGTTAGCAGTAATTTTTTAATAATAACTTTCATCTAATTTATTTAATTGATCTATGATGAAGTTTAGATTTCAATTTGATTATAATTTGAATTTGAATAGATTTGAATTATTTGTTTTTTTTTTTTTTTTTTACATTTTAGCGAACAATTCGATGCATATCGTGCTCCACGTGTTATTATACCACTTGAAAGTATCAAAATTATGGAAGGTAATGATTTTACGCTACGATGTAAATTTAGCGGTGATCCAAGGCCAAAAATTAAATGGTTCAAAAATGGTGAACGTGTTTACTCTTATGGTCATTGTACTTTGGTAAGTTTTAATCCAAAAAAAAAGGTTTTTTTTTTTTTTTACAACAGTTTGAAATTTTCAAATTGAATATTATATGATTTATTTATACAATAATTGTATTATTTAATTTGTTCTAATTGAAATTTATTTGCTTATTTTATAGATTGAAAACGAAGATGGTAATTGTGAATTAATTGTTAAAAATGCTAATCGATTTGATGGTGGTTGTTATCGATGTGTTGCAGAAAATATATATGGATCAGATAGAACAATATGTGAAGTTGCTGTGCAATGTTAGTTTATTAAATTTTACATTTAAATTACACCAATTATCAATAATGTCTATTTTTTTTTAATATTTAAAAAATTAAATGATGAATTGAGAGATTATGCTTGAGTATAATTTATTGCTAATATCAAAATTTGTATAATTTATATTTGTTTAATTAATCATGTAATTCATTTATGTAATTTAAATGAATTTTTTTTTTTTTTTTTGTAGTAAAAGAAAAGAAACCACAACGTAATTTCGAGGATGAAATTCGTGAAGGTAATGCACCAGGTTTCTCGGTACCACTTGCTATGAAACGTGCTAAAGCAGGTGACACCGTTATTCTGGAATGTGTCCCATATGGAAAACCTTTTCCAGAAATTAAATGGCTTAAAGATGGTATTGAAATTGAAAGCAATGATAAAATTAGGGTAATTTTATTATTTCTTTTATTTAATTATTTAAAATTAATTCATTTTTAAAACAATGAATTTTGATTATTTATTTCTGAATAAGAAATTTGAATATTTTTCTTATAAAAAGAAAAGAAAAAACAATGCAAATTTTCAGATTGAAAGTTTGGATGATAAAACCCAACGTATAATTCTAAAAGATGTTGATTTCTTTGCGGAAGGATTCTATCGATGTGTAGCAACCAATGAGTACGGTACCGCTTCTACAAAAGGAGAAATTGCGCTTGAAGGTAAACTTGTGATTCGTTTTTTTAACATTGTTAATAAAATGATAGATAATTTTCTAAATTATACGAATAGTTTTATTTTTATTAAATAATAATTTAATTTTTGATGCATAAAATTTTATTGAAAATTTACAAAATAGATTGATTATAAAGTTTTGTCTTTAGAGATGTTAGATAATTATTCTAACAAATATGGCTAAATTAAGATTATACCTTTAGCGTTCATATAATTATAAATGATTTAATTTTATGATAAAAATATCAAAATGTAAATCTTTAGAAAAAAAAAGTCAAATGTAAAATATCTTTTATAACTTCTTGAAATGTCTATCTACTTTAACTAATTTGAATTTTTACTTTTTTAATTTTTTTTTAATTTTAATTTAATTAATTTTATAATTTAGGTGATCGAACATTACTAGCAAAGAAAATGGAACCATTACTTAGTGAGGAACCGACAGAAAGTAAACCACGTATTCGTCGTGGTTTATATAATATGAGTGTACATCAGGTATAAGTCAATTTCATTTTCTATATTTTTTTCGTTTCTTTTTTATACTCTAGTTTCTCTTTAATTAACAAACTTTAATAAACTTTTTTTTTTAAATTTTTAATAAACTTAATTCACTTTAATAAACTTGACAATAAATTAAGTTTCAGGGTAATACTATTGAAATGCAAGTGTGTACATCAGGTTGGCCAACTCCAACTGTGAAATGGTTTAAAAATGGTCAAGAATTAAAATCTAGTGGACCAGATGGTCCAGTGGTGGTATGGACCGATGAACGCGGTATTCACCATTGTGTAATCCTGAATGCCTCACCGGAGGATGAAGCTGAATATGCTTTGGAAGCTACCAACAAACTTGGCACAGCACGAACCGAAGGCGCTATCACAATTATCAGGCCAAGAGAAGTACCAGGCTATGAGGATGATCGAGATAGGTATGAAATAGTACTTCTTTTAGTATTAATTATAATCTAAGCTGACTTGATAACTCATTTCTTGAATTATAAATGATTGCTTATCATTGATCTTTTGCTAAATAATGAAATTTACAGAGGTGGTATGCCATATCCTCCAGGATTTATTCGTCAACTCAAGAATAAACATGTCTTCTCACATATGCCAACAATATTTGATTGTCTTGTAGTTGGTTATCCACCACCTGAGGTATGTTACTTTTAATTCTTCTAAAATTTTAATCAAAAATTTTAACTGAACTCATAAAAAGTTTAGTTTGCAAAAGTTGAGCATAACTAATTTAACAAATAATTCAACTTTGAATTTGAAATTTAATGATAAAAATTGAGCTTAATCACTTTATTTTACATGTAGCAATAGGTTTTATAAATTATTGCTTAGGTTGAATGGTTCCATAACGGTAAAAAGATAATACCTGGTGGTCGGATACGTATTCAGTCGTGTGGAGGTGGGTCACACGCCATTATCATCATGGATACACTTCCGGAAGATGCAGGAGAATATGTAGCAATTGCTAAGAACTCACATGGACAAGCTTCAAGTAGTGCGGTATTAGATGTAACTGGTAAGCTACTGTTCAAGTGATTTTTAACAATGTTCCAGCAAAATTTAATTTCTTTTTTAAATTCTAATTCTTGACAAAAATTTTATACTTTTTACTAATTATGTTTCTTTTTTTTTCAAAGAATTTCTTTGGTTTTTATCCTTTGAAAATTTTATTTTAGTACCTCTCTTGGATTCAATTAAATTTGATGGTTCAATTGATGTTACACCTTATCTAACAGAAGAATATGGTTTTAAGAAAGTTCCACATCATAGTAAGTTGTTAAACTTTTTTTTTTTTTGTTAAATTTAGTTAGAAAGTTTATATAATACTCAAGAAATCATATTTTCAATTAATCATTATACTAAAATCTTAGACATTCCAACACCACCGGATCGTGGTCCATTCATTAAAGAAGTTACCGGACATTACTTAACACTTTCATGGATTCCAACCAAGAGAGCTCCACCACGATATCCTCAAGTAACGTACGTAATTGAAATACGCGAATTACCTGAAAAAGATTGGATTCTAGTAAGTATTTATCAAATCTTAAAAATTTAATGTTTATCAGTGTTTTATTTAATTTTAAAAGAATATAATGATTCATCATTTCATAAATATTGTCTTTTAATTGCAGCTTGATTATAACATTCCTGAACCGGTATGTAAAGTTCGAAATTTGGAACTTGGTAAAAGTTACCAATTTCGAGTACGTGCGGAGAATATTTACGGTATTAGTGATCCATCACCTGCTTCACCACCATCTCGACTGATGGCACCTCCGCAACCGGTGCTTGATAAAAATAAACGAGTTATTCCGCTACTCGATCCGTATGCTGAGAAAGCACTTGGTCAAGCGCATGCGGAACAATATGGTATTGCTGTTTATTTTTAAATACAACATAAATATTATATTTAAATATCCTTTTTATTTCCTCCCAATTTACTGGCAGAGATTGGAAGAGATCGAAGTACAATTAATTGCATGATCGAATAATATCAAAATACAATTACATTTTAATAAAAAAAAAGAAGTTCAAAGTTCAAATTTTTTAGCATGTGCACCATGGTTTGCACCTGGTGTGGAAGAGAAACGATTCTGTGGCGAAAATGATACGCTATCAATAACGCTATGTGTATCCGGTTTTCCTGATCCAAAAATTATTTGGAAATTTCGTAACATGGATATTGATACTGGACCTATGTCTAGGTAAATTTTCTATCATCATAATTTTAAGAAGTAATTTAATTGCTCTATCTTAAGAATTAATTTAGTTAAACAATTTATTACTACTACTTCCTTTTTTTTTTTTTGTTGTTTTATTTACTTGTTTATTTGTTTACCTTAGTAATATTACAGAATTCGGGTACTAAACCATGCTGGCACAGAAACAACACTTATAATAAATGGATTTAATAAGGAAAATGTTGGACAATATCAATGTATTGCAATTAATCAGTATGGTGAAGCACAACAAAATATCCAAGTTCTTTTGGGTGGTATGTTTATCAAAATTTTCAAAAATATTTTAAATTGTTTTCAGTGGATAATTTAGACGGTTTAACTTTTTATTTCTTAAATTTTATGAAAAAAAAAATTTACAATTTAAAAAAAAAAAAAACACTCATAATGTTTTTGTCATTTTCAGCACGACCAAAGTTTATTCAACCGTTGATTAATAAAGTAGTACCTAATGGTAAACCACTCAGGTTAGATGTACGTATTGAAGGAAGTCCTTTTCCGGAATTGAAATGGATGAAGGTAAGTTTACAGTTCATGTTGAAATTACAATTTGCGTAGAAATTCATATTTTTGCTTTATCATGATATTGATAAGGATAAGGATAAGTATAAAAGAATCAGGATGAGAGCAATTTTAAGCATTTTAAAAGAATTAGCAAATATATTTTATTGTTTTCCTTTTTTTTTTTTTCTTTTATATTAATAGCTGTATTTTTTAATTAAAAATTGTTATTTTGTCAATTGTGATATATGAAAAATTTTTGCAATTTCTTGAATTTATTTGAATTATTAATTTTGAAATCGTTTTTTTTTTCTTTTCAGGATTGGAGACCAATCGTAGGATCATCTCACGTTAGTTTTACACGTGAAGGTTCATTATGCTCATTGATCATTAATGAACCGTTGTGGTGCGATTGCGGAATTTATTCCGTCGTAGCCATAAACGATGCTGGCACAGCGACAACATCGTGTTCAGTAACTATTGAAGGTTGAAATATTTTATTATTATTAATGTTATTATCATTATTATTATTATTATTATTATTATTATTATTATTATTATTATTATTATTATTATTATTATTATTATTATTATTATTATTATTATTATTATTATTATTATTATTATTATTATTATTATTATTATTATTATTATTGTTGTTGTTATTATTAATAATAATATTTATAACACTACTCTTTTAGCAACTATAAGGTTGTCACAGGATTAGATATTAAGTTGCATACAGGTGACAAACTTTTATAAATGAATATACAATATATTTAAATTATTTCGATCATTGTCCAGTATTTAGGTATATTGATTACTTCATAATCTTTGTTGATTTACTTACTGAATATACTTATTCAGTAAGTAATTCAATAGAAATTTTTCTTATTTCTGAAAAATCACTTATTTATTAGTTTCTTTATGTGAAAATTGAATTATTTATTGCTTTTTTTTTTTATTTTGCTTTAACTTTTTTCGTTTTTTTTTTTCTTATTTAATTATACTAAATACTCATTTCTTACAATATCAACAATTTGTGATAATTATTATAGTATTACATAAAAATCATAGTTTATAGTAATTTCAAAACATCGAAAAAAGAAATATTTTTGAATGCGAATGATTTGATCTTCAATTATTGATTATTAATTATTACATTAGATTGATTTATTCATTATCACTATCAGTTATTCATTTGATAATGCAACAGAGTATAGTATAAGCAATGAACTGTGATCATTAATTATGCTATTATAATATCATTAAATCATTTTTCAAAAAAAAAAAAATTTCTTTTTTTCTTCATTTTATATGAAATTTTAGCTGACGGTGACTTCAGCATGATGCATGATATTCGAAAGGAAAAATCTCGCATAACGCTGGAAGCTCGTAAAGTTCGAGAAATTTATGAAATTGATGAAAATGATGAAAAGTACGAGTACAATGCTTCAAATTGAGGCGCAATTCTCTCTCTCTTTCTCTTTCCACTTATATTGAATCACAAACTGTAGTTAATTAATTCAAATTTTTATTTAATAACGGGAAATATTACTTTCCATTTTTACCCTAAAATTTGGGAAGAATTTTTTTTTTCTTTTTTATTTCTTATGATTAATTACCATTCATTTTAGCATTTCTTTTGATAATGCAACGACTATTCATTTTGTGTTTTTTTATATGAAATGAAACTTTTTTTTTTTTAATATCAAATTGTTAACTTATCATATATTCTGGCTTAAAGCTATACTAGTTATTACCATTAATGTAATTTCAATTCTGTGATAATTAATTAATTTCGATTCAATTTTAAATACATTGATTAAGATCGATGATTCATAGAAATATGTGGCTTTATTTCAGCAAATTTACATCTATCCTTTTTTTTCTCTCTCTCTCTCTCCCTCTATTTTTAATGATAAAAATTTTAGTTCATATAAATTTAATCAAATTTTAGAAATTTTAAAATGAAAATTTAAAAGATATCAAACGAAATTTTCTCTTTTTTTTTTTTGTTGAAATTGCGTCACTATTACATGTTCTTTTGCGATGTATTTCGAAAAAGGCTGCCAATAAATTTAAAAAAATGAAACGAATTTTCATTTCCGCAAATATTTTACTCTTTTTGACAAAAAAAAAATGAAAAAGTGTGATTGTTTTGTGTGTACAAATTATTTATGCCTTGCAATGGGTGTTGTTATTAGCTTTCTGCTTCCTTTTTTAATTCCGTTTTTTTTTTCTTCCTTTTCCGGTTGCTGAGTTTCAGCTATTTCAAGAATTTTTAGCCGTTTAGCTAGATTTAGATTTGTTATGAAGTTATGATGGTGAATACTTCGACAGTGTTTCATGCCATCTACAATGAAATTTCGCATTGGAATTTAGATTTTTCTTTTTTTTTTTAAATAACCCAAATTTTGTGCATTGGATTAATTAACCTTTCCTTTCCTAACCAAGAAAAAAAAAACTTAGGTTTGTATAGCACAAGAAACTTTTAAAATCTTAATGAAATTTCTGATAATTTTCCAGCTGAAATAATTAAAATGATTGAAATAATTAAAATAGTGAAATTTTTTTGTTTGAATTTTAAAAATTAATTTATTAATTATAAATTTCTTGTGCTAAACAAATACAGAAAGCTAAACAAGGCCTCAACACACAAAAAGCACTTTCTCTTATGTCAATAAAAGTAGAATGCTGCACGGAAATGGAAATTTGTATTATAAAAAAAAAAAAAAAAAAATTACCAAATAATTAGCTCAGAATTTAAATTTCTCGAAATTTAGAAATTTATAAGTAAATTATGGGTTTAAAAAAAAAAAAAAGAAATGAAACTTTGAAAATACAGTACAAAATTTATGGCTTTGAATTTAGATTATACCTTAATTTTAGTAACTCCTCTTTTTTTTTAATAATTTCAAAAAATTATGCAATATATGAAAATTCTTTGTTAATTAGAGAGAGAGAAAAAGAAGGGAGGAAGAGAGAGAAAGAGGGAAAGAGTTGCAGCATTTTCTACTTAAACATTAGATGATTGAAATTCAAGATGAGGATGAGGTCTTGTTTATTGTTTTCTGTATTTGCAGAGCTGCAGCTGCTGGTGCAACATTTCACGTCACGGAAATTACCACACGTAAACGTTACTTGGCCCAATTACGTGCTTTGGATGAAAATTTAGCACGTAATATTGAAATGCAAAATAATTTGGATCATCCAAATACCATACAACTTCATCAGGCTATTATGGATCAAGGCATTGCTGTTCTTATTTATGAAAAGTAACATTTTAAATATGACTAGCTGAATCTAAAAAAAAAAAGAAAATTGATTCAAATTTCAAATCATACAAATAATTGTTTGACTAATTTTATTCATTTATTTACATTAAAAAAAAAAATTATATTTTTAATTAATCAATTAATTAAATCAATTAATATTTATAAATTGCAAAAAAAAAAGCAATGAAAAATCTCCGATATAATTTTGCTAACTTTATACGATTTTCATGCTATCCTATTTATTATTAAGGTAAAATTAAAGTATTAACACATTTCTCTCCTATTTTTTTAAGGTAACTAAATTAGGTTTTATTTTTCTGAAATTGAACAAAGTTCAAGTGTCAAGTTTTATTTCCTCCTATCTTTTTTTCAAATTTGTTCCTCGATTGATTCCGCTAATTTAATTCCTTAACTAATTTAATCAAACAAAATTCAGAAAGAAACATTGAAAAATTGGATGATTATAAATTCAAAATTTTTAAAAATCATTTAATCCCTTAAATTTATATTGAATTAATATACTTAATCTAATTCTTATTCATAATGATAAGCGATCTATGAGATAAAAGATAAAAGGTCAATGTCAATGAAAATGGATTCTCATTCTGGAAGATTTAAAATAAAGTTAAAAGTAAACATTTCAATTTTATTTTAGTTCATCCGAAAGAAAAAAACACATTTGATAAACGCTTCACATTTACTCTGATTAAAACATTTTTTTAATAAATAAATAAAATCAGAAAAGTAAATATTTTATGAGTAAATATTTTTATTTTTTTTTTAAAAAAAAAAAGAAACAAGGAAATTTGATTTGAATATAAACTAAAAGCTAAATTATTGAATGTTAGATCAAACAGAAAAGTCTTTCATTTCTTTTAAATTCCGGAAAAAAAAATGATTTTTCTGGAATAATTAACATTTAAGATCAAAAAAAAAAAAAAAATCAAAAATATTTTAATATTCCTATTCAACTTTTTTTCAAACATTCCCGTAAATTTTTGAATTCAAATTAATGTAACTACACATATTACTTGTACTTAAGAACAATTGATTAATTCTATCACGTATCACGTACGTACGTTTGTCAAAATAATAAATGCATCAGAAAGAGCGCATTATTGTATATCATATGACAAAGCTAATAAAACTTAAAACAGTAACATAATTGATTGATAATTTTACTTAACATTTTATGTAATTATTAGATATTTAAAAATTGTAAAAATTATTGAAGATTTAAGTCGTTAAGAATTTATTGGCCATTTTAAAATTAACTTAAATTAGATTTTTGAATTTGAAAATTAAATCACTTGAAATGAATTAAATCGTAAAATTTTGCACTGTAAACATTAACTGATACACTACTAATTATTGACATTTATTTTCTAATAAATAGAAATGAAAGAAATTTTATTCAACAAAAAAAAAAAATTAAATTTATAATTTTAAAAGAAACTTAACATAGAATGATTAATTTCAGCATATAAGTATAAGCATTTATAAAATATACTTTAGCAATTGAGTAGTTTATAATTTTAAATATCAAAATAACTTAGACAGTTTAACATTAAAAAAATTATTTTAAAAATTTTGATATCAAAATAATTACAATATAACAAATAGCATTAATTAACTTATCATTATGATTAAATTTTATGTCATTGTAATAGCAACGATGAACTTTGATGATTAATTTGCTTCAATTGATGAATTTTTTTTTTTTTTTTGTTTATCTTTAAAAAGTTTATTTATTTGTACATTCATCAATTACATAAGATAGAGTTAAATTTAGAAATATACGAAAGAGTTTAAAGAAAATAACAAATAAATAAATAAAAAGGATTAGAAATAACGGAATTATTTGATCTTTAAGCATTTATTTTCTCATCAAATTTGTTTTGCTAATTTGTTATTATTACAACAGCAACTGATAACAATCAAAAATATTGATAATATTTTGTGTATAAAATTGAAAAATTATAAGAAAATGAATTTTTAAAAATTTAAAGAAAATGAATTTTTCATCGATAAGTAATATTTACAAATACTTAATGCAATGTCGAAGCAATGATTTCATCTTTATTTCATTCAAATAAAATTTAACTCTAATCAATAAATTTTTTAAAACTGAAAATTCTCTTTTTTTTTTACTTTATTTTTGCAGCATCTTTTAAAGAATTAGTTAATTAATTAATCAATTATCTTTTTATAAATTTCTTTTTTTTCTTTTTTTTTTGTTTTGTTTTATTTTTTGAAAAATTTAGTGCAAAAAGTGTATGCATTTCTTCCATCATTCAATCATTCAAACTTTCAAAAGATTGTAAAAAAAAGTAAGAAATAGAGGAGGAATAGAAAGTGATAAAAGTGTTATTTCTGATCATAGAGAAAAGAGCAGTAATCAGATAAATAGTATCATTCCTGATTTCTATTCCGGATTTTATTCATTTCCTGATTGCTAGAAAACGTTTTGCCTAAAATCCTAAATGCTTTGAATGTTATTATTAATAATTTATTAATACATCTTGTATTATTTCTATTGTCAACAATGGTTATCGAATCAATCTGGTAAATCTTTTTTTTTTTTTTTAACAAAAATTAAATTTTAAACTAAATTAATTGATAATTTAATCAATGCAAACAGTAAAATGAACTCTTTGAAATGATTAGATATTACGATCTATTAGAATCATTTGATATCATCAAAAAATATTTCAACTAATAGTAATTTGATAAATCATTCAATTAAATTCATCAATTCTAATATTATATTTTATTTTTTACAATTTCAAAGCTATTTAAAACATTTTTCTTTAAAAAAATTTTTTTTTCGCAACTTTCAATTCATCTCAATTTTCCATACTTCATAACCAACCTTTTTCATTATGTGAGTTAAAATTACATTCGTGTTGATCTTATCATTATCATTAATTTATTTTATCACTGCAAAACTTTTTTTTTTCCTCTTTGCTTCTTTCATTTTTCAAATTTCTTTTATTAGTTCCTCTTACTCTGTTTAAAAGTTCCAAAAATATTTGCTTTATTATCAAAAAAAAGAAAAAATAAAATAATAGTAATTTTATGTTTCATCGTTTCGTAGCATTTAATTGCAAGAAATTCGAGTAAAATATAAATTTGCATTTTTCTATTTCAAATATTATAAACTAAAATTGTGAAATGAATTTTAA